ATATGACTTGGGGGGGAGAAAATACGGTGCAAATGAGAGTTGGGAAATAGCTTCGGAGACAAAGAGAGATAGCCAGCGTATTCATTTCCCCTCCCTCCATATAACAGAGCATTCATAACCTCCTGCTGCCACTCATGATGTAAGGCTGAGGCAATTAACCTCCTTCATCTGTCATACACTCGTGGTTTTGTGACTGTGTGTACTTCTCAGAGCTTGTGTGTGCGAGTGTGTGACGTTTGTGCATGCCTGTTTGCATTAATGTGTGGGCACGTTTATTTTGTGTGCATGAGACTGTGAGTGTGTGTTTCAGATCAAAGATAAAATCCCACCGCCTTCCACCGCGGGGAGATGATGTCATTCTCTGCACAGATAGAAGTGATGCTGGCTCAAACAGCTGACTTTACTCACCACAATAAAAATATCATCTTTTTCTTGCAGCTGCAGCTGCAGCTGCAGCATGACATCATGTGTCATGCTTTACATTTCACCATATACCATATATGCTCATTACACAGCAAACCACAGTGCTTTTACTTATAAAATGAATGCATAACACTCACATCCTCAGCAGTGGGACTTGTCTTTATTTTTAGAAGATTTGTGCTGGTTATTTACATACATATTTTGTTACCTTAGAGCAGGTTTACTCTGGGGACCACGACTGTAAACAAAATGTTTTTTAGATGCCGCTTAGTTACGGGAGATAAAAATGGATAATTATATTCTTTGACTGCAAAATCCACTGTTCTGATTCAATGTGTGGTTGACAAATTAGAGAAGTCAGAGTAACGTGCATGTTTACAGGACATAGCTAATGTGTAAAAAAGAGTTTCATAACAATGACATTTTGCATGCTGTGGGCCAACAATTTAGCCACAGGACATCGAATGCATTATTCAGTGGATTTATTCAGATTTTACAGGTACAGTTCATAATTAGAAAGAAAGCAGCAAGAAGGATTGGTGTTCTTCAAGAATAAACTAGTGTTTTACTGACATAAGCAGCACTTAACTAAAACGTGCAATGGCAAGGTATCCATTACTTTTATCCTATTTTACGTTTGGTTCTCCCAAATTGCAAAGCAATGCATTTTATGACATTTCATGACTGTGGTGCTCCGTGAACAGTTACATAGAAGAAACTAACAGCAACATGACATTACTCTGCATAATCTACAGAACACACGTCTAGATTAGGGGTGTGAGAAAATATTTAAAAAAATATAGTACCCGGATATTTTGTTTTGTGATATTGTATCAACTCTCAAAACACTGTATCGTTTCTTGTGATGTTATAGGGAACCTTTTTTTTACCCCAATTTTATATATATATATATGGTGGCGTGTTCTTTGTACTGTTCCAAAATTAGTTTTTAGTTTTTAAACACAATATATCGCCTCGCTTACAGTATCACAATACATTGTACAATACAAAGCCCTAGTCTACATAGGATCTTCTTATAAAGGAAATAGAAACTGTTGACATGTTCTGTGGATTAGACAGAGTATAATAGTGACATTGTTTGTCTAATGTAACTTTTGTGCACCACAAACTAAAGTTCATTCACCTCCATTGTGGTAGAGTAAGAATTGTCAGAGATGGACCCACTCTTTAGAATAATATGTCAACAGTTCTTACAACACATTCTGTCGGACAGAAGGCCTGATTTGCTCGATGTATCTTTAATAAAATACGTTTGTAGGAATGTAAAAGGGGCTGTTAGTGCATACATTGAATATATATATATATATATATATATATATATATGTGTGTGTGTGTGTGTGTGTGTGTGTGTGTGTAAATGGAGGTGTATTTTTTCTGTTCCCCCTGCTTCCAGTCATGGTGCTGACGTTTTGGCTAATCTTGCATTTACACTAACGGCGTGTTGAACACAGACAGACCTTCTCATCTAACTGCAGATGAGACAGCAAACAAGCTCACAGTAGTTTCCTTAAAGTTAGTTCACATTACACACAGTATTTTTGTAATACCATGGGGGGAAAATAGTTTGAGACGTCTTTCTTGACAAAGGAAACACGCAGCAACTTTCGCTGACTCACAGATGTGGAAATCAAGGTCAGCTCGAATTATTAGGTGTCGCATCCGATGTCAAGGTTAACACCAACCCAGCACGCCTCCTTTGCCCTCTCGAGCAGCAGATAAGATGAGACACAGTGAAGACACTTTTGCTAACGTGACAGTCCCAGCTAATTACCGTCACCAAGCCAGAAGCCGGTCATTTAGAGACTCCTCTGACCGCAGACAGACACTGCCGCCTTAACACCCCACATAAATACACCGAGTCCAAACGGCTGACGGAGCTAAGACTGATTTGTCGAGGGGGCTTACATGCAGTTGCACATAAACACATAAACACACACACGTACACACTCGCACACACACACACAAATTCATGCAAACCCACAAAGACAGATAACAGAAGCTGTAATTACACAGTCGCTGTTCTGCCAGGGGTGAACAACACGCAGTAAAGAGAGGACGCCTTATTCTAAACACACACAGATCTTAGGATAGGATGTTTTACCACTACCACAGCTATAATTATAGCCATAAAGGAGAGGGGTAGATAAGTGCAGATATGATGAGGGGTGGACACTTTCAAATGCACAAACATACAATTATATGAATACATAGATTAGGACATGGACATTTTGCAAGACGAAGGTCAATAAGAATTATGATGTGTTGTGTAGATCCCTCAAGGTTATCACAATTTGTGTGTGTGTGTGTGTGTGTGTGTGTGTGTGTGTAAAACTACTCAAGAAATCAAAGTGTTTTGCAGTAAAATGTGATGATTTGCCTCTTGCCCTCTCTGTCCTTTTCTTGAAAGGCTCAAACAGATGCAAGTGTGTATGTGTGCGTGTGGGAGAGTGAGCCTCTAGAGAGGGAGAGCTTTTGTCTATTCAATTGCCTGTGTGTGTGTGTGTGTGTGTGTGTGTGTGTGTGTGTGTGTGTGTGTGTGTGTGTGTGTGTGTGTGTGTGTGGTAACTGGCAGAAAGAGTGAACAGTAATTGGTAGGCAGGAGAAAACTCACTCCATTTTCTTGGTTGGCTGGTCACTGTATGTTGAATTCAGGTGAGGATTAAGAACAGGAGAGAGGTGCAGTGGAATTTTGTGTAAGTGATTTACTGCGCACAGTACTTCTCTTTTTTACGTTCTCTATTAATTACAGCAGCATAGTGACGACCTGGAGCAATAAATTAGAGGTTATGTTTTGAAACATTTGAAATGCATTACTCTGTGTAATTAAGGATGCAGGACGCTAATTGGGGTTTGTGTATACCTGTGTACGTCTTCTATTTATTTTATCGCCATAACAGTGCCAAATCTGTACACATGCAAATTTTCAATCGTTCAAAATCACAAAAGAACGATTTACATGATCAGTTATTTTATTTAAAACGGTATAATCTGTAATATCTGTCATAGTAAACTAGTAAATTGTGAAACAGGTGTTCCTCAGGGCCAGATTAACCCAAGCCCCAGGACAACGAGTAAGCTGTGTTGAGAGGAACAGAGCCAGCAGTTAAAAATCAAGGACATGGAACACGATCAGACAAAACAGCGGTTAAATAAATAAGACAAAAGGCAGAATACTACAAAGACCTGGTGGAAAAGCTGATCCCTAAAAAACGACAGACTCGAGAGCTTTCAAAGAGAGGCTGAGAAACAAGTGAATGAACTTTAAAAAACCAAACCAAAAACAAGCTGTCATTTATAAGAAAAAAATACATAGACACAGTGTGAGAGGGTTCCTATTTACCCTGTTTACTAAGGAAATCCTCCACCGTGTGGCACCTGACCAAGCGGGCTGCCTTTGGATATCTGTAAGTCTGTATGGAAGAAGGAGAGCAGAGAGAAAGAGCATAGATACAAAGTGTTTGTCCAGTAGAGCACAGTCAACAGCACGGCATTAACATGATCACAACGTACAAGTGTTTTAGACTCTGCCAATACTGCCATTGATTTCTAATTCAAGATCAGTATTTTCCCTGCATTTGCTGAGTGAAGACTATACCATTAATATTAAAGTTACTGGAAATAGTTTAAGAAGGACACTGTACAGAAAAAGACCTTATCTAAAATGTTAGAATTGTATCCCTTGACATGATCGGGTTAAACAGGTTAATATGCCGGGTTAAGGCTAAAGAATATCAGCCCGATAATAGGCTGACCCGATAGATAATAGGGCATCGGGTACAAAAAAGGACATCATTGATTGCTTTTAACTTGTGTAGTTTATTATAGTGGACAACAACCGACACCGAATCAACAGAAAGACACATTCCACAATATGTTCTGTAACCAATAGGTGCACAGGGTCCCTCTTCAACTGTAAACATAATAAAGCGAAAGGAGAATATTGTTGGTGCTGCTTGGTTGGACAGGGAAATAGAGGACAGTTTGTTTTTTCTTTCTGAACACAAGACAACCAGTATCATACACTGTTGTTTGGGCACTATTGTTGATACTCTTTTTCCTGGGCGTTGGCTCCTAGTACCTCCTTCCCGATTACCTGATTTACCTGAGTGTGAAAGACGGCAAGCTACGATTGGTCAGGGACCAATGTGTGACATAGAGAGTAGAGAGATATTGTGTAGTCTGAACCAAGCAGTAGCAAACAGTTACCTATTTACACATCCAGCAGCCCCAGAGTAACATTAGCATTTGTTTGGAAATGGTGATTGTAAGTCGAATATTGACTCTCTGTTTAGCTCTGGTTCTGGTTCTTTAGCCACTAAATGTTCCACAATGGCCCCTTTTCCACCAAATTAGAGTAGTTAGCAGTTTTTTCCCTACTGTGTCATGTCAAAATGCCATCCAAGAAAAAGGGCCATACTAGTTTTAAATGCATGTGTCTGACTTTCCATACTGCTGTAGGAAGTAAGTGCCGACTGCATACAATAATGTCTGTGCTGTTGACTGTGTTTGATCAAGCTGCTCACTAAAACCTGCTGTCTCCCTGCTGTCCTCTTTAGGTGTTCTGTGGAACCTGTCGTCATGTGACGCCCTGAAGATGCCCATCATCCAGGACGCCCTGGCTGTGCTGACCAACGCTGTGATCATCCCCCACTCGGGCTGGGACACCTCCCCGCATACGCAGGAGGACCGCAAGCTGCACCTACACTCCTCCCAGGTCCTCCGCAACGCCACAGGCTGCCTCCGGTCAGTGTCACTATCTGTTTCTGTTGGATTTCTTATCCAACATTAAAGGTTGTATGCACGAAATTCTCTTGTCACTAGATGTCGCATCGGGCACCAGCTTCTCAGACTAAAACATTGGTTGCTTCGGCCAACCAAGCTCCATTGACAAAACCTCATTCCTCATTTTAAGTAGCAGATAATTGTAAAATACACTTCAAATTGGATTGAAACAAAACTCAAATCGTCTTTGTTATCTTTCCACTGTTCCAACAATGGCCCAAAGTATTCACACATTTTTAGAATCACATATTATTACCTTCATCTTCAATATCAACTGATTAAGCGTTTATTATCGCAACCTTTGCGGGGATGTTTTTTTGGCCGTTTACAGTCTGCTATTACCAACCATATTCAAACAGAGAAATAAGTCTCTCTTAGTTCAAAACAGTCTGTTATTTTTAGATTGTATTCTGTGTTATTTTTACCACCACACACACACACACACACACACACACACACACACACACACACACACACACACACACACAACTGACAGACTTAGCTACATTTAAGATGACTCACCGCTTGGCTTTAGAGCTGCTGTGGCTTTTCGTTCTCTCACTTGAGACTTGATTCTAGTCGTACAGTACAGTCTGGGAGTAGTAGGGCTGTGACACATATTTTTTGTTGTTCTGGCTCTGTACTTCAGCACGTTGGATATTTAAGAAGAAAAACAGTTACACTCACTATTACTATACTGTGTTTCAATTATTTGATATATTATCAAGGAAATGCGTGCATTACTTGGTATATTCAAATGTAAGGGTTAGCACCAGGATCCTGTGGCCAATAAAGTACTGTAGTTTTAGTTTTTGGATTGGAATTTAGACTTTGTAATCCATGCAATCATTTATCCATTTATCCATTAATATAAGTCCAATTTTCACTCCCTGGTCCAGTCTCCACCAACTCCCGAGAAAAATATGGCTGCTAAAATTCTTTGATATGTTCACAATCTATTCGCTAACTTGCTGATCTGTTTGGTGCTGAGCAGATAGCGTATAGTGGGTTTATCAGAACTTCCTCACAGAAAACTTTGGCCTGCTTTATCTGGAAATCACACTGATGAGAGCTGTGAGACAGAATGAAAATAACAAAGCTGTGGGCCAAAAAATCTAAATAATACACTGAAAAATGCTTAAACACCCTGTAGAGCTGACGGGAAGTGCTGTCAGATTAAAATCCTCTGAGTGAGTCATTATGAGTGACCCCTTTTATATGCAAGTAGTAATTTAATCCATTGTTAATATAAAAATATTTATCATAGCAGATTTAATTATAATACAAACCATTACATAATATCAACTATATTGTACTAAATTTCACTTGTCAGCAGAAAATGAGGTACATATTGTTATTGACCTAATTGCATTAATGTACAGTGCAGTTAATGAGTCACTTACTTCCCTACAAAAATGCACTAAGGTACCTTGTGCCTTCTTTCTCTAAGATGTATATATAAATGGCTACTATTAGCTTATTTGTGCTTGCTGTAGGTATTGATTGACGTGGCCCATTCTTACTAATGAAGAATATAAAATACAGGATGAGCAGTCAGATAATGTTTGATGGTGGTGGTGTCATAAACTAATACATCATCAACACCATGATTAAACGTGTGTGCGTGTGTGTGTGTGTGTGTGTGTGTGTGTGTGTGTGTGTGTGTGTGTGTGTTTGAATTGTGATGTTGAGACAGCAGCCCTTCTTAGCTCTCCGTTCTGTAAAATTCAGTGAAAATGCTCCACGGCTCTGATAGCAATATATAGACGTATTAGCTTTTGTAATTCTGTTTTCTAAATGCTTTCTAGTATTTCATGCTCTGGAATCCATCGTAATATTGTTCTGTGTTCACGGCATCTGCCTTAAAGGTGTGCAGACGCAACTCGTCTGGCCTTCATTTCAGAGCTCCTCTGCTCTCCATCCTGCACAATCCAATAAAAGTCACATGAAAGCCCTGCAAGTATTAAATCCTGTAATTCTATCTAAAAGAGTGTTTCAGTATTTTATGTACAGGAATACAGTTTAATAATGTTTTGTCCTCTTGGAAGGAATACCAGCTTAGTAAAAGCAGCCCATGCAGGCAATTATGAAGTTTTTACTTTTTAAATTACTTAGAATTACAGTTGCAGAGTGGTTTTTTGTTCACAGTATCCATAGGATTTCAGTCACATTTTGGCATTGAGTAACACAATGTCAGCACTTACTGAAGAACCAGTGTATCAACAGTTTGAATTATTCAAATGTATATCAGTATTATCATGTGAGACAGTAGAAGCTATGTCATTATAAAGGCCCTAAAAGGACTTTTTTCACATCTTATGGTATTTATTTAAAAAGAGTTTATCACTCAACAACCTCAACTGATCTGCTCCATCAGGACTGTATGGGTGTGTTTTGATCAGATTTGATAAACATCAATAGGACATTTAGCCTGGTTCTAGCCTTGAATGTGAATCACCGTCCACAACTCAGATACGTTCATTTGTTCATGTCACGTACGTTTAAAGTTGCTACTGATATGATTTTAGGTTAAACAAAATAGAACACACTCCACATTTGGCTTAAATGTCCGGCTGAATGAATGAATGAATGAAACCAGCTATCGCTCATAGAAAGAAGCTAGTTTGGAATGTTTTCAGGGCCTATAAAACTAGATACAGCTAATCAATAGATATCTCTACACATAAAATTTGTATTGGTGAGATGTTTCCAAACTCTAAGTATTATCAGGACCGCATGATGAAATTTCCATGGCCGAGACTGAGCTCATAAATATTTCCAACAGAGACGCGTCAGCTGTGTACCAGACGTTTTTTGATGTGCTACTGGTTCCCTTCCATCAAACGTTTCAGCATCAAAAGAAAAAAAACACGTCTTGCCGACAGAATAATGACAACATAGCCGGTAACTTTTACAAATTGCATGCATATTTGTCTTTTTACCCGTCTCTCATAGCATAGAGCTATCTTGCATCTGCCTTATTATCTCTGCAGACGTATACGTGATACAATAGCACAAATATGTTTGCTTGAATTATGTGACAGTTCTCTGCAATGTTTGACATCTGACACAGGGCTATACGAGATGTAGCAAAAGTGCAGCCCAAGTTAAGTGAGAGCAGGATTGCTGCATGACTGCGTTTGCATCCATGTCTGCAATGTTGTCTGGCTTCCTGTGTGTGTGTGTGTGTGTGTGTGTGTGTGAATGCCGCTGTTTGTCTCTCTATCTAACTACATGGGTGAGCCATTAATCTCAGCCACAATATGTCTCCTCACCTGCTCTCAGTGCAAATAAACCACACATATTGGGTGCTAACAAAGGGCTTTAGTCGCTTTTAATACTGTACGTGTGTCTGGTGGTGTGTGTGTGTGTTGCAGGAGATGGCTTTGTGTGGATCAGCTCCCTAAACTCGAAGGGCTAATTCATCTTTCTCACGCCTCGTTAGGGAATGCTGGGAGTCTGATTAAAGATTGAATATTTCATGGCGGGTTTGGTATATCGCCGGCCACCTGCTCTCTCTCTCTCTCTCTCTCTCTCTCTCTCTCTCTCTCTCTCTTTCCATCTCCCATTATCCTCCTCGCTTTTCTCATTTTCTCTCTCTACCTCTTTTCTCTTTAGTCACTTTCTTCCCCCCTCGCTCTGTCTCCATCTCCTCCTATTACTCCACTTCTTCTCTCTCCTTCATACTATCCCTTTCCCTTTCCTTCTCCTCTGTCTCGCCCTGTCTCTGCCTCACTGTCTCTCACTTTCTCACACAAACACACACACACACACACACACACTTTCTGCCTCTGCTTACTCACTGCTTGCTTCACTCCTCGTGTGTGCATATGCCGTTGTGCCAACTAACAGGAAGTGCTGAAACTTGTGTTGCTGGAAAGCTGAATATCAATCATATGCACTGAACACTGAATAGCACCCAGACTTTTAAGAGGTATAACTGCATCTATCTCTCCAATATGTAGTCTTTACTCCTCCCGAGCATCACTGCATCAGACTTGCACTGTGATTTACAGCAGCTGAAATGACACTAAAATTACCCATAATTCTCCCTGTCTCACTGAAATGACTAGAAGGAAGCAGCACCCGCAACTGTGCAAGGTTTTGTTGCAGCATGTCTCTGATCCATCCCCAGTACATGTACTGAATGATCCGTGTGGGTGAGAGAACACAGTAAACACCTAGTTCGTCTCCTACTTTGTGCAAATTTAACTGAAAATTAGTTTAAGAATGCTGTACGCACTACTAAAGCAAAATATCAACTGACTTTATAACAAGGGCCTTAAGGAGGGTGCTGCTTTATCAACCATTAGTGACTAACAACTGTATTTAATAAGTTTAATTTTTATTTATCATGCCTTAATTGGCAGACAAAGTAGATTTTCTTTTAAAAATGCAAAAGAACAAAATTAAGTTTTATATTCATTTGACATGTTAAATATCATCATTGGATCAAAGCATACATTATTGAAATTAAAGTTGTTTTGAGGGTACCAGGGGCATTTCCAGACTCCAGGGGGACAAGAGGAGCACTGACTAATGTAAGGTTAGCTTGACTTTGGAGTGTTATTCAGCCCCCTTCCGGACATGCTAGCATGACATGGTGTCAATATAATGCGTTAGGTAGTCTAGTTCCATATGATACCAGTGTCGTGGAGTCTGCTATAGCTCCTGTAGACAGTGCGAGTGGAAGAGAGAAGGATAATGGGGTTGCACTTGGGGTGGCCAATCAGATTTCAGGAGTAGCCAGACCCCCCCTCTGGAAACGCCCCAGAAGGGTACCAAGCATTTGATATAACCCATTATAGTTAGTCTAAAGTGAGATACAGCCATTTCTGTAACATACTAGTCATTAGTCACTAGGGGTTTCTCATTTTATCCCATAGGACTACATTATAAAATGTCTCTTAGGTCTAAACAATGCCAAGACCTGGGGAATGTCTTTGCTTGAAATTTTATTCCCACAGGTGCACAGGCACCTGGAGTCTCCTTTCGCTTGCAGCTATATCCATTAGCTGCTGTGCTAAAGGAAAGAGATAAATGATCTAGAGTGATAATTGTCAGGCTAGCTGCCTCTGACAGAGCGTAGGCAGCACGGTGACTGCAGGCTCCCAGTGCTGTTAGCTTACAGTGATCAAAAGACGAGCGATGCTGGGTCAGCCGTATACAAAGGCAGACGGCCCTCAAACAGATGTCCTGACTGCCACCCACTCAGGGCCGCGAGGTGCCATATCCCATAGTAACAAGTGCTCTGAAAGAGAACTGTACACATTGTACAGAGTGGAACAGGTTAATCCTGCTGTGGTGGTCTAACATTTGTCTTGCTTGTCCATCCATGTGTTTGTATTAGTTGATGGATATTTGTTACCAGTTAATGAATAGCTTTAGGTGTACTACCACCAGGATCTGGAGTAGTATAAGACTGGTTTGCAATCAGATTTGTGATCCAGCTAACAGAGAAGCATACTGTATATGCGGCTCAATGTAAACAAATGTGTAATATGAATACTTGAAATGGCAAGTGTAAACAGGGTCAGAGGCATTTTCTTCATGACTCAACATGACTCTCCATAACAGCAACAGAGACAATTGTTTGTTCTTTCTCTACAGGTCTTTGGCTTTGCTAAAACAGTATTTTGTGTTAAGTGCCAAAGCAAGAACTTTTTCAATTTGAATTTTACAACATCAGCTGCCACTCTTCCTCCCTTGTTCTCCTTTACATAGTCCCCAGACAGTTTTGAACGTGTGAGCACAATGGGCTCCATGATACTTTTGATTCACTGTACATCATTATACATTTTGTGTGCATTTCTGTCACCTATCCCATACTAAATTTGTATATTATATGAAGGCTTTCGACACAGTGTCATTTACAGTAAATATAAAGGTGTTCTTATGTTATACTAAATGGTCACAAGAGCAGATGGCAATATGCTTTTATTGAAAATGGCTGGATTGTTTTTTAATATGAATAAAAATCCCAGAAGTCAATCTGCTTGTAACAAAAACACAATTCAAACACTCATGCAGAGACATTGAGCAGAACCCTGCAGTCTCCCTCTTTATTTCTACCAAAGAGTGACATTTTTCATGTCGTTTTTTTTCTCACAGCAGCGTGGCACACTATGGATTAATCAAATTCTGTACCGTGTGAAAGCTCCCCTAGTAGACACAAAACCTTCTCTCCAGCAGTGCGTTTTTTTCCCTCATTATTTAGATTCTTCACACTAAAAGATCATAATGAGAGATAATCTGCAGCCCTGTTGCCTTGCAATGGGAAACGCTTCAGAGGGATTAATTATGCCAAATTGACTGAGGTTAATTGAATTGAATCCATTAACAGGTGGTATCCAAGAGAATGTGTGAAAGACAGAAGGATATAAAGTTGTAGTACTGTTCTAGTGCTTTTATTTTGGTGTTGATCTGTGTGTGTCCTTAGTGATATGTTGCGCTGTGCTATAGCTTCCGATCAGTGGCCTGTTTGTGTGTGTGTGTGTGTGTGTGTGTGTGTGTGTACGTGTACGTGTGTGTGCGTACTCAGGTAACCTTGCATCAAGGCTTAAGTTAGCAGCAGCTTGTTAACACCCCAAAACATTCAAGAGTAATTAAAACATGATGCTCCTGTAATTTAAGACTCCACTGGGGGTCAGCATAAAACAAACAGTTGATATACTAATGAAAGAAAGAGATGTTTGACCTGATTTCAACTGGGATCTTTGGATGAATATGCTTGTGGTCCGTCTGAAGCAAACATTTCTGGTCATTTGACGAATGCAAGTCAAATATCCACTCTCATATTGTTTTGGCCTTCACTAACTCTTGAGAAACACATTATATTTGACTCTTAAGCTACTATATATTCCAGTACGTACACTAGCTGGTCCCTTACTTTAGTCAGGTAGTGTGCCTGCTATGTCTGAAATTGAGCTTCATGTAGGCGGAAGAGAACAGTAAGCTACATGCCAAAACTAAAACAATGAGCTAAAAGAGTGCTACATAGAGCTGAGGGTAACTGCAGAGTAGGGTGATCACTCTGTACTCTTTGCACATTACATGTAGTCATCTGGTCTGTTGTTACTATAACATTATTGATTACAGCTGCTCTAACATGGAGTTCATTTGGGCTTTGCATTGTGTAGTCTCACCTGCTTTTTACTTTACCGCTGTGAGGAATTCTGAAATTCTAGCTTTATTGCTCTAATTAGACTGAATTACTTTTTTGTCTGACTTCACTCATTCAGTCTAACGTGTTCACATTAGCAGACAATTCTGTTTGGAAGCGGAGTTTACTTTGTTTTACATTGCCCTCAGCCATCAGGAGCGAGCGTCTTTTTCAGTCCACACAGAAGCTGTGACGGCTGTTGTTAGAAGCAGCTAGCTGATTTACAATTTGTTCCTTCTGTCGACTTACAGCCAGCTGTACAGCTGCGTCAATTTCATCCGCCTTTGTCGCCATTTTTCTGTCACTTTCATGAATGTAGCTAGCTATGTAGGAGGAGGATGTCCCCATTCTTACATCCTGCCTACAAAGCTCTTATCGGTCTAGACCTGCTGTATTTGAATCCTGAGATCACTGCTGTCATAATTTGACGCTATACAAATAAAATTAAATAGAAAATTGAATCAGACATAACAAGGAGCACACCGGTGGACACCAGACGTGTTTGAATGAATGAACAAATTGGAATGTAGACAGCTGCACTTGAACAACACAAAAATCCGTAGGCTGATTTGTGAGGATCGCAAGTGTGTAACAGCGTATCTACACAGAAAGCATTTCAGCATTTCACTTTTCAGACATCCGTCTTACAGACGTCTGATGAAACAGATACATCTCCAATCCAGATCTACACAGGCCGCGTAACGTTTCAGTGACGCTAAATGCGCCGTAAAACATATTTTAAAACCTATTCGCTGCTGTTTTACTTGTGCTACAGTGTGTGTTAGGCTCTCGGCACTGCCACGACACAGTTGACCTACTGTACACTCAATACTAGCTTGCCTCAAACTGTCTAACGACACAGCGTCTATGTCTGACATATTTAGCATCGCTTACTGACATCACTGGTATTCTACAATCCTAACAACAGACAAAGGTCAATTTCAGACCAATGGAGTATTTAGTCATTAACATAGTTTACATCAGCAAATGCATAATGGTCATGTATAATAATGTCTTTGCTGTTTATATGTGTGTTAACGTGTCATATTGCAGCTGTATAACACCACACCCTGTACCTTTAAAACACAGATTTGAGACTCAAACAGTGCAGACTGTTATTAAGGACCTAGGAAAACAAATGCGACTAATGGAGTTTTGGCAGCTTGGTGCCATTTTTCACTGACACTGAGGGCACAAGCATCTCGTAGCCATCTTTAATCGTCTGACATTTAAAGGGCATTATCATCAGACTCTCTCTCCTCTCTGTCACACAGACATGCATACTATGCAGTGTCATATCAGTATGCTTGAACATACATGTGCTCACACACACGTAAAAAGTTTTCAGTTGTCTTTTTCATTAATGAGGTGTATGTGTGTGTTTGTGTTTGTGTTTGTGTTTGTGTGTGTGTGTGTAACAGGAATGTGAGTTCTGCAGGCGAGGAGGCCCGGAGGAGGATGAGGGAGTGTGAGGGTCTGACAGACGCTCTGCTCTACGTCATCCAGACCGCTCTGGGGAGCAGTGAGATTGACAGCAAGGTAACTCTCTCACACACATACAACCAAATCTCTCAGCCTCTAGCTCATGCACACACAAAACAACAACAATGAAAGACACAGATACACACAATGATAGAAAATTATGTTGTTGTAAAGTCCTGTGCTTGTGTGTGTGTGTGTGTTTGCATGTTTGTGTGTATATCACTGTTCAAAAACTGAAATATTACTGGTTATTTTTTGCTTTGTAAACATGTGTTTAATGATGATTACTATGTAAAAATATTTAAGATTTACATACATTTACATGATTATATGCAAATGTGTTTTATCTGTGTCTTTGCAGACTGTATGTATACACTGCATATGCATATTAATCTGTATAAGTTGTCACAAACTGCACACTGTAATAAATGAATGCTTGGTAAGTTTCCTGCACTGGCATATATGAATCTGTTGATTAATACATATCATTAAGACTTATTTCAAGAAAATATCACTGATCATTCAATAATATTTTGAAATAACAAACCACAGTTTAATTTATACTAGGTAAAGATCTGACACACAAACACACACAACACAAAAAATACACTATAAAACCCCAAGCTTAACTTAACCGAACTTGTCATATTGTACAGTGCACCATATATTACTCAACCCAGATGGCCAGTGACACAGAAACATCACTAGTGAGAATGTGTGTGTGTGTGTGTGTGTGTGTGTGTGTGTGTGTGTGTGTGTGTGTGTGTGTGTGTGTGTGTGTGTGTGTGTGTGTGTGTGTCTGACTGTGCTTTTATGGTAGCCTGTGAGCAACCATGTGTATCTGTATGTGCTTGCATATATGCTGCCTACACAGATGTGTGTTTGATGTGTAAAGAGTGTCTGTTCTGTCAGTGTATAGAGGGGTGTGTGTTGAGTGGAGATGTGAAGTTTTAATCCTTAGAAATCCTTCACAAGATCAAAGTCTGAGACTGTTGACTGCATAGCTACTCACAACAATAGGATTAGTGTGTGTGTCTGTCTGCATTATGCACACAGCGTGTGTGTGTGTGTGTGTGTGTGTGTGTGTGTGTGTGTGTGTGTGTGTGTGTGTGTGTGTGTCTCTATGTTCATATATTGTATATTATACAGTCAGCACTGCACAGTATGTTCATATATGTCTGTGTGTTTGAGTGTGTGTGTGTCTGTGTGCATATGTGTCTACAGTCTGATTTTCAGTGTGTTTGTCTGTTCGCCCGATTGCCATCTGTCCCTCCTTCATGTCTATCTTCTTTCCCATCTCTCTCTCTCTTTCTGTCTTTCCTTCCGTCTCTACCATCAGACCGTAGAGAACTGTGTGTGCATCCTGAGGAACTTGTCATACCGCCTGGCTGCAGAGACGTCTCACAGCCAGCAGGGGGGGTCGGAGGAGCTCGACGGTCTGTTATGTGACACCGGCGGGAAGGACGCAGAGAGTTCCGGATGCTGGGGCAAAAAGAAGAAGAAAAAGAAGGGACATGACCAGGTGGGAAACCAGAGAGTTCGAAAAAGGGAGTCTTTAAACATGTCTGCTGTTGTTTCTTCATTTTTTCTTTGTTTTTTTGATTATTTCTTGAGTCAGTTAAATGCTTGTTGCTGATGCTACATGTGAGATAATAGTGGTTGGCAGCCTCAGCTGAAGGTTCAGTGGGTTTCTTGCTTTGGCAGGGTGCTCAAGTACTGCAGATCCATGTAGTTAATAATATGCTGGATGATAATAATAATATGGTGGATCCATCTTTGTTAATCCCTCTAAGCAGACCTCTGATGAATATCCAGACAAGTTAATGGACTGTGTTTGGTCTCAGCTGAATGCTGTTGCCCTCTGCTTGCTTGTACAAAAAGAGGATCAGGGCCTGGTTTCTCACACATACAGAGTGAGCAATGCTAACTTCTGAAATCAGCCGAGTCTAATCTGTAGCACACACACACACACACACACACACACACACACACACACAAAGGCTGATATTGTTAGCTAGCTACACACCATCTGTCCTCTCTGTATATTAAAGGGTCCAGTGTGTAACATTTAGGAGGATCTATTGGTGGAAATGGAATATAATATTCATAGGTATGGCTTCATTAGTGTATAATCACCTGAATATAAGAAACTGTGTGTTTTTGATACTTTACAATGAGCCAGTTTTATCTACAGACGCTGCGGGTCGCCTTCCATGTAGGCCGCCATGTTGTACCACCATGTTTCTACGGTAACCCAAAAGGGACAAACACTGTCTGTAGATAGGGCCTTTTGTGGTTTTCGCGCATTTTGCAGCCAACATAGTTTCTCCTACTGCTTGGAAGCAGAGGGCGAAGTAAGGGAGAACAATCTGCAACTACACCAGTAGATGCCACTAAATCCTACACACCTTTCCTTATTGGAAAAAGTGGGGAAAAACTGAACTAAAAAAACATTCCATTAGTCAATTAGCACAAATAAGGCGACTGATTAAGACTGAAGAAGCGACAGGATGCCAGCGAACACCACTTTAGTTCACATCGAATAAGGCTCCTCGGTTCTCAGGATGTAATTTTATCATACAACCGGGACTTGGATAAGAAAACGATGCGTTGAAACAGATCTCTCATGAAATTAACTGCTTCATTGTGCGCCAGTATAGTGGTGATGGCAGGAAATAACTGCCCAATCAAAGCTGAGTATGTAGCTCGATGCATAAGCTTCAGGGCCGTGAGAGAAGAGAAACTACTTTATCAAAGGAGGCACCAACAAGCAGGAACGTGGCAGCTGGATGCAGAGGTGGCAGATGGACATTCTCTTTGTGGAATATAATGAACTCTTATTCTTAACAGTTACGTGGGTGGGTTTTGTGTACTTTCTGTGTCTGGAGTTTAAATGTATTGTTTACATGAATTGTTCTTCAGTGGCTAAATTAATGTATTAATCAGTTATTGCCAACAATATGATGTTTGCAACTTTGCCACAGGGGTCATCAAGGTTTTTAATTTGATTGTTGACATGTCTTACAGTCTTTGTCTCCCCATGCTCCCCTTTTCCTTTCCCTCTTATTTCACAACAATATAGTGTCTTATAGAATTTTAATGAGCACATAAAAATCTACATTTACACAGCGAGTACATAATGGATGAGGAATTTGTCTTTGTTTGTTTAATGCTGTGACTTTATTAGTTTGTATTCCCTGTCAGATGCCCACATCAACAATAAGGCATAATAACAGTACTGCAGATAGAGGGTTGTCTTCTTGAGACTTTATAGAGCATCTAGTGTGTACTTTCTAAGACTCTATCCCTACATTGTATGATTTCACTTAAATCATTTTGTTATCTGTCTTGTGTCGGAGCAAGTGTCACTGTTTGTTTGTTTCCAAATTGTGGATTCAGTATTTCATTTTGTAATGCAGTTCTGCGCTGTTTCTAGTTCAGGAACATTTGCTCAGTTCATCCCTGGTTCACGCTATCTCTAGTCTCAAATGAATATTTATGAATGCACTGCAGCTTTCTTTGATATTTATGATGTTTGAGCCAGAGCTGTTTTCCACGTAACTACTAGTACTGATATTCACCTACCACCCTGATTATTTACGGTCACTGAATAAGTCTTTAATGTATCAAGAAGAGCTTGATGATGTGATACAACTATGTGTCTTCTTAATTTTATGTTTTTTCTTGTTGTACGTAATGTCATCAACAGATGCTACAAGGTTTTCACACAGCGGGATCAGGAGATTATAGCTGTACCTACAGATTAAGCCGTTTCTGTACACCTCTGCTCAGAATCAAACATACCAAGCCGATTTAGTATTTCTCTCTGGATTTCAGGGTCTGTCCATCTGTTGCCAACAGGCAGAGTTTCATCCTCCATTTAGTTAAAAAATTAGCCCTCTTGTAGTTGTAGAATTGGCAGAAACCAAGCGGCTGCCTTGGAGTAGACTCTAACCTCTTGTCATGTTAATAAGCAATCAGCGTCACATTCTGGTTGAGTGGAAGACGTCTTTTACAACTTCTAGTGAAGCTGTGGGGATTGAAAACCCAGCACTTCCGGTGGATCAGAGTGGGTGAATTGCTCATTAGCCCTGCATGCTTTTTCTCCCCCTTTCATTTCTAGAAAAGACAGAGAATCAAGATTTTTTTTTTAAATGGTAGTGATGAGCCAGGCCTTTAACTTCCATTTGTCAAGCGAACCCTCGATGAACTTTTTGCGAATCCAAGCAGAACCAGGGAGATGAGGGATCTTAAAACTAACTCTGGGATCAGATTGTAAAGGGACAAATCATAACCTCTCCATAATGATAATACGTAACCCCCCACCCTCCCCTCTATCTGTCTGTCTCCACTCCAGTGCAGCTGTGGGTGATTACCATGAAGTAGCGATTGGGGAGCTTGTTGAAGAGGGCAAAACTCTATCAACTCTGGGGTAATTAGAGGAGAGAATGAGGAGAGGAGAGGAGGAAAGGATATGTTGGTGGAGAGGGAGTATAAAGGGAGAGTGTAAGGGAAGCTGGGGCAAAGGGAGGAAGCTAGAAAATACAAAAGGATGAGAGAGGAGAGAGGGGAAAGAGGAAGTAGTAAAATAATAAGGTCAAAGACAAACAAGGAAGTACGGGAAGACAGGATATTTATTCCCAGTGCAGTGTGTTGGTAATATTACAGAGGCTTAACAGATGACATGTGAGATTACCTTACTGCAGATGGAAGGAGAACGATATTCTTTTCTATACAAAATACATATAAAAACACTGAGACTGATATTATATAATGACAACAAGTAGGAAGCATACGGGACATCCCAGTAATATTTTCAGTACAACTACAAATCAGAATCAGATAAAGAATCGACTGTACAGGCCAAATACGTTTAAATACACAAGGACTTTTTGTCCAGGTTTCAGTAGTTGTCAATAGACAGACAACTGGTCCTTGATTTCAGGTAGTGGTAGACAAAAGCAGGCTTCTTATTTCTAACTGTTGCTAGCAGAATTTAACAGTTATAGCTAGCTAATTAAGGTAAGGTGAAATGACTAAAAACGCTGTCTCCGGCTGACTTTTTTAATATCTCAAGCTGGACAAGAACTGTACTTTTGTGTGGATAGTCTATTGACTGTTCACTAACGTTCCCAGTCTCAATTTTTTGATGAAGGTAAAATGTGTGACAAACAGAATGAAAAAACAAATATTGTAGTTCTGAAGAGATGCCCTGGCCTACAAATCTTGTTCTCCAGATTTAAGAAAACATGTTTGTTTGGTACAGATCCAAAAAATGTTTACATCGTCGTGATTTTGACAAAATGACAAAAGCTGGCTTCTTATTTCTAACTGTCGCTAGCAGATTTAAACAGGTTTGGTTAGGTTTTTAGTATGAGTTAGTGTGTTTGACACACACACACACACACACACACACACACACACACACACACACACACACACATAAAATTATATTTTCTTGTAACAATATATATAACACAATATCTTAGGTGTAAAACAAAACTCCCAATAACTTAATCAGAATAATTCATTTGCCAAAGAAATTTGCAAAATGATAACATGCTACGTTTGTGTAATCTCAATGTGATTGCATTAAAGGACAATAAAGAATTATATATTTACCAGCCCTAGTCTGGATGAAGAGCAGGTATTTACCAGTGATCCTCTGTCATATTTGCATTTAAATGTGCAATGCTCTATTTCCAAAAATAAGGGGGATGCAACAAACAACAAATCCAATAACCACTCCAGGGCAGCTCATAATGACTATTTTTTGGTGCAAATTATATATTTTTTTCATAATGCACCTACTCATCAACACACGTTAGTCTAATGTCAGTCCCACTAATCTGTGTGAATTATATTGCAGTGTCACTGACAAATCTCTTCCAGTCAAGAGCCAACATTTTCACAGTTATTACTGATGGATAGTACAGTATGTGTGTGTATCTTTCAGAATGCATCATCAATGCAGGAGGAAATGTCAGATTTCAATTACAGAGGAGATAGAATTACAGAATGCACAAATAGATGAATGCCACCTTATTTATACACTGTTTATGAATAGTAAATCTCTCTCCCTCCTTTCCCTGTTCTTGCCTGAGGGGACCATGCTGGCACACAACCACTGTCAAACCTCGCCTCACACAGAATTCAAAATGCTTTTTCTATCCTGAATTATGTCTCATCTTCCGCAGTGGGACGGTGTCGGCCCATTTCCAGACTTGGCGGAGCCCCCGAAAGGCATCCAGATGTTATGGCACCCCACAATCGTCAAGCCCTACCTCACACTGCTGTCTGAGTGCTCCAACCCAGACACCCTGGAGGGAGCAGCTGGGGCCCTGCAGAACCTAGCTGCTGGCAGCTGGAAGGTAAGAACCCAGTGCTGTGCCTATATCCCTGTGATACTAAAGGACATCTGCACAAGTGTATTGAAATTCCAGTGGGTTCTGAAAGTGTGAAATCTCACCACACGAAAAAGTAACAATCCTAACAGCCCCCCATGTTCTGGTGGTTTTTGTGCTGTGGGATAGCAAACCTTACTTACTGGCCCTTTCAGATTCCCATTTGGCAGACATCTCTTTGAAATCAACACTTTTATGTAATAGCATCTAAATGTCAGAATAAGTATCTTATTTTCATCAGTATGTTACAGATAATAACATAAATTATACAGGGGGAGATTTGTTGAACACTTTAGATTTAAAATGTTTGTAATTTTTCAGCCTCATTAAGTCTTAACTGTCAATTAATTTGATAGACAGCTTCTTATGAAATACAAATGACTTAGAAAATGCTAGTGAATATAGGATCATCGATCAACAACTCCTTTCTTGGAAAAAGCCATGAGATTTAGCTGAAAGCTTCAGAAACACCAAGTAAGTAGATCTTATGTTCAGACTTCTTTTAAAAGGTCAAGAATGAACCTTCAACCCGAAAATATTTTATATCATCTTTGATGGCAATTTAGGTCTGTCAGTCGGTCCACCACTTTGTTCTTCCATGAATCCTCATGAAAGCTCCGGTTGACTTTTTTAATATCTCAAGCTGGACAAGAACTGTGCTTTTGTATGGATGGTCTGTTGAGCGTTCGCCAAACTGAGTCCAGTCTCTGACTGAAATATCTCAACTATTGGATGCATTGCCATGACAATTTGTCCTGATATGTTCCCCGGAGGATGAATCCTACTGATTTGGTGATCCTATAACAATTCCATAGCGCTACCAGAAGGTCAAAGTCACTTATCCTGTGAAATATATTAACATCTACTCAATCAAAAAATTTGGTGCATATATTCACGGTTCTCAGGCAATCAATACTACTGATCTTGATGACTTTTCCTCTAGTGCCACCATTAGGGTAGACATTTGTGGTTTAGTGTTTTTTTAGTGTCAAAATCGTTTTCATTTCATTGACAAGAAATAGCCAATATTGGATAACAGTAAAGGAGTTAGCCCCAATATGGTACATCAGTTAAAAGGATCAATCAGAAATAAGGGATAAAAACAAATCTCTGATCCTCTGTCCCGCCCAGTGGTCGGTGTATATCCGGGCTGCGGTGCGTAAGGAGAAGGGCCTCCCTATCCTGGTGGAGTTGCTGAGGATAGACAACGACCGGGTGGTTTGTGCTGTGGCCACCGCGCTGAGAAACATGGCTCTGGACATCAGGAACAAGGAGCTAATTGGTGAGTTGTTCATTCCCAGCAAACAAAGATACTCTCCAAAAAGAGTCTGCCAATGGGTTAATGCATAATTTCCAAGGCAAACCAACTTTAGTCAAGAGTTTAATTTGAGTGTAATTTTTAATGTGCTTAATTCTGCCTCAATTGATGATAATGGTACTGAAAACAAGAGCAGTTATCTTAACCCGCTTACAGAATTAGTCACTTACTTAAATAATGAATGTGATACTTGTAAAAATGTTTAGCGGTAATTATTTAAAAAGGTGCTGTTAAAAGGTCATTTGTGTCAAGGGTTGTTACCGAATGGCTGACTGACAATGGGTTTGTCCAATAAAAAAGAGGTAAATGTCTGTATCTATGCAGATATTCAGATAGTTCTTCAGCCGGTAGCAGTAGTGTTGCTCTGACTGATCGTTTGATGCTTGATTTTCCTTTGGAGACCGAGTGATGTCTGTAATAAACTCTGCTTTTCTGCTGGTCCCCATAGCAACAACCTCATGCCTCCTTCCACTTACTCTGTCTGATGCTTGAGGCTCTGAGCTAAGCTGTGTCTGTCTGTGTGTGTATGCGTGTGCTGTCTATGTATGTGAATGCAGCCATTCATGTGTATCTTAGATGTAGGTTGTAATCTTACAAACCTTGGGGCATGCATGTATATTTTGATAGGATATACTGTCCTGCCCTCACTTGTGTCATGTTAACATGATGAAATTGCGTTAGAGACACAACATATAGTGTAGCTGCTTGCTCAGAGCTTTCAGCAGTACATATCAATGCTGTCTGCACAGGCAGGTCCGCTGTGAGCCAACTGCTGTTTTATTGCTGCCATTTTACAAACTTGATTAAGAGCTTTATTTTCAGTGTTTGTATGTTTATAATAATTGAGTATATTCCCAATACTGCAAGGATACAGCAATAGTTGAATTAAGGTTCAATCAGGTACGATAGGGTTATAAGGCAGTTTATATATGTAAATTACTTTGATTATCTGGAGAGAATTGTGTTGTTTTTTTTAATTGCCAAAACACAAAAATTGAAAGAAAGTTGAACTTAGGGAGTTTGGATATAAGTTAGATATGGTTTTAATTCTGTAATCTACACCATGTTATGTTTTTCACTTGTTAAGTGTTATTATTATATTTAGTATTAGTAAATTATTATATATTAATCAAAATAATCTGGAGTATATACTGTATACTTTATGCACCAGCAGGATCTTTACGGCACTAAAACACATATAGTGTGGATGTTAACTGTCAGTTGGTCATGACGTGCCGCCACCACCACCACCCCAGGGTGATGACCAAATCAGAATGAAGGGCAGAGGGCAGAGTGGACAAGATTGCCTGACAGCAGTGCTGGGGTGTCATGGGAAATGTAGTCAGTCTGTGTTAGATTTCGTGGCCAAGTCAGCATTATTGTCTGACAGCCACCCAGCCAGGCTGTATTTTCTTAGCTGTAGCTGGGAGTTTTAGCTGTCATAGGTTTAAAGGTAAGAAAAGGACAAGAGCAGGGACTCAGGGACTGTATAAAATGATTAGGGGGTGATGGGTCAGCACAGAAGAAGGGTCGTGTTCTTTTTGTTTTTTTGTTGAAGTGAGTTTAAATTTTGGGAGAGAGCAGGGGAGGGTCCTTTAACTCTTTCTCATTCCATATATATATTTATTTATATTGTTTGAGAATAGAATTGATGTATATTATTATCTTATTATGTGTAGCTAATAGTTACTGAACTTTATTGTTACCTCCGTCACTATATTCTGCAGCAATTCAGAAACTGAAAGTGTCACATAAAGTTCAACTATAGAATAAGTCAAGTTCAGCATCACACGTTGCCAACTTTTTCTACTAATGGGAGAAGTTAGAACTGTATTTGCCTTCGCCTGACTGTGTTGTAAATGTTTTATTGGCATTAATGTTGAATTAAAAGTAAAAAAAACCTAATACATACAACACTGATCAAAGTTAACATAACAAAAGCTCAAATTATCTGTTTTCCACTTTGTCTCCTCCTTTCAATGTTTAACCTATGTCACTCTTACCCACCCTGTCACTCTTACCCACCATGCCCACAGGTAAATACGCCATGAGGGACCTGGTGCACCGTTTGCCCGGGGGCAGCAACAACAACAACAGCAGCGGCGGCGGGGGAGGAGGAGGCGGCAACACCAGCAGCCTGGTGGGGAAGACCATGTCGGACGATACCATCACGGCTATCTGCTGTGCACTGCACGAGGTCATCACCAAGAACATGGAGAACACCAAGGCCCTGAGGGACGCCGGCGGCATCGAGAAGCTCATCGGCATCGCCCGCAGCAAAGGAGACAAGTAAGCCAAGTGGGAAGAAGTTGTCAGGTGGAAGAGGTTGGAAGTAAAGAAAGTATAGAAGGATGAGAAGATGAGGTTGTTGGTGGAAGTACAATCTTTGGGCAGTGTTCTTAGCAAGCTTTAACAGTTTTTATAGTTTTATAGACGCTGCAACAGCATCAAACTGAGACTAGAAAGAATAGAGAATGATTTGTTTTTCAATATGTCAGATGTGAATAAAAACTACAGTACCCACAAGAAGACAAGACAAGAACCAACAAGTGCATCTTGATATTGCCTCGTAGTTACAATCGAAACACTGCCTTGTAATTTATCCAGAATAAGAACTATGAATTTAATCGCCAGGATTTTAAGCTTGGTGGTTGGATTTTTTTAAGCCAATGCCTGAAAATTGTCCCTTGCCTTTGTATGTCCATATGTGGCAGATATCTATTCTGTAGATATGGAGTCCACCATGTTGAACCGCCATGTTTCTACAGTAGCCCAGAACGGACAAACCAAACACTGGCTTTAGGAAGGACCTTTCACGCCACAATAATTTCTCCTACACGCTTGGAATGCTGAGGTGTAGTCAAAATGGTTACAGTCTGCAACTTCATTTACATTTGATATAATTAAGTATGTGATTCAAAGGTAACTTAACCTCACCAAACTGTATTACCACTAATTCCACTGGAGTCAAAAGCTGTAATGGCAGCTGCTGAGCCACTAATCTAGCTAGGATACCTTTCAGTTACAGAAAACAGCTAGGGGAAAAATCAATAGGTACTTTTAGTTTTAGTGCCAAAAAACTATTCTTAACACAAATGTGGTTCTTACTTTTAATCCAAAAGTTGCATTCATTTTCTCCAGTGCTGTGTGAATGAGCAAAGGCTAAAACCAATATCTGTTATTTTTCAAAGTATAAATCCTCAGTCATTTTTAGAGATACTGAAGGCAGATAAATACAGATAAACACATTATTTTCTTGTTCTTCAAAGCCCGTTTTTAAGTTCCCTGCTCTGCATCAGTGCGAGGGCCTGATATGCAATCACAGAATCCAAAACAATAACATTTGCCCAAATGACTTGAAGAAATAAAGTTTAATTTCCTAGACGCTGATAAGGCCATATGAGCCAATTACACCCACAGCCATTAGTCAGCTGAGTCAAACCCTTTAGGATGCTGAATGAAATATTGGCCAATCAATCAATCATCCAAACAATTATTCCATTTGGCCAATTTAAGTGCCATTTTTGAAGCGACAAAGAAGACATTTTTCATTCTGCATCTTTGGAATCTGCAGTGAGAAGTTACTTCACATACTTTGTCTAGTGCTTCTGCTTTAATGTCTGTTTCCTCATTATTCTGCATTGTGAAGTTTTGATAGCTCCCACTTGCACAAAACAAAGGACAGTCAAGCTTTATACTGCATGTGTTTTTTCCTCTCTGCTGAATTCCCAGACATAGTCCTAAAGTGGTAAAGGCAGCATCTCAAGTCCTGAACAGCATGTGGCAATACAGAGACCTCCGCAGCCTCTACAAAAAGGTAAAGTCTGCATGGCTGAATGTGCTCTGGCTGTATTTACACTGAAGATGTCAGTAATGTTGACGATACCATTGTGAGACATGTAGATTATTTCTAACATGGTCTCATTTCTTCTTCTCTCCTCGTTCCTTTCCTTTGCCGTTTGTCTTCTTCAGGATGGCTATTCCCAGTACCATTTTGTCGGCTCTTCCTCCACGATAGAGAGAGACAGGCAGCGACCTTATTCTTCCTCTCGTACTCCGTCCATCTCTCCCGTACGAACCTCCCCCAACAATCGATCAGGTGAGTCTACACCCTCCTCTCTCTCCTGTCTTCCCTTTTGTCCTTCATCACTCTTTCTGTCAGTACAGTCCAGTCAAACAAACGGCACTCAAATACAGCTGAAGTCTGCTTTCACCTTCACACTACGGCGGCTGCCCACAAATTATACTGCTGTCAAATACAATCCTTGCACCGTGCCCCCTAAAAAAAGTTTACGCCCTTGCATTGTTAAAATTAGAATTTGACTATGGGCTTTTCAAGGATTCTGTATTTCTGAGCTCTTTGGATTTTTCATGTGTTAAAGTAATGGCTTCTTGTCATTCAGGGCGGTCACATAAAGAGCCACAGTGCTGATGAGATATTTGGCTCCTGGTGTGCGAGAGGAAGTGGTATCGGTGCTGGAGAACAGTGTTTTTATGTTCTTTCAGTGATAGATTTAAAAAAAATGTTATATCTACAGATGCCATGGGTCACCTTCCATGGAGTCCGTCATTTTGAACCACCACATTTCTACAGTAGCCAAGAATGGACAAACTAATATGTGCTGTAGATAGGATATTTCGCATTTTTTGGCTAGTTTGGTGACCACTGTAATTTCTCCTGCATACTTCACAGCCTGTTGTCTTTCCTAAGTTGTCAAATACAGACACAAGTGGTGTTTAGTTAGTTGCAATCTGCAACTTCACTACTAAATGCCACTAAATCTTATGCACTGGTCCTTTAAACTCTTGGTTTATTAAACTTACTTTTTTCCTTGTTCACAAGAGATAATCAAAGAAGTGATACATGTATCACAGTGCTCCTAATATGACATTATTGTGCAGTGTTGGGTAGTGCTATATTACTAGTAATAATATTTCAGTAATTATATTACAGTTAAAAAATAACATATAGGACTTTTGGTAATAATGTGACCAGTTACTGATTTGAAATCCAACAATCCAGGATTCATTTTTGAAACTGTGGAGGAAACTAGTTTGGAGGATGGAAACACTTAAATTCAGCAACTGGATTTTAATCGCTGTAAGTGTGGAGAAAAGACACAATTACTGATTTTATGGTGACCAGCAGAAAAGTAAAATTACTAGTAGTGTAACTGATTCCTGTTGGCAGGGAGTTAAAAGCAAACTAATTATATTACTTTTTAAAAGAGAGATGAGTATTAAACTACATTTAAGTAACTAGCCCAGCACTGTTAAGGTGACAACATTCAGAGTTGTGTTGTGTTGGAGTAGATAGATTTTATACAATTACATTATATGTCCTTATTACGGTTCAGTGTCAACTACACCAACCTTCTCAGCTGGTCTCACCTTGGGACACACATTTTCCTATTGTCATTAAGTGGCTTTTACTGTCACAGAATTCAGACCAAGTAAATGTATTTCTCAGATAGGCTCTTAAACACATATGCAGTGTCATCAGGACCTTTTTAAACATAAAATATACACATATTTCCATCCCTGCATTTGAGGATGGTACTGTTAGACCCGATCGCCTTGCGTAGGTTACTTCTACACACATTGACACATAAACACACAATACCAAGATTGCCATTACACACATACGGAGCAGTCACATTGTTAGTATATATTATAGTATTCACTATCATCTTTTTTAACATAAAATATAAACATATTTTTCATCCCTGCAATCAGACAACATTACTCTAATAATAAACTGAGTATGAACTTCACGACTGCGTGCTGCTGATTCTGATGAATAGGAATACAATTATCAGAACATGGCCCACAAAACAGTTTTTCATTTAACAGATATTTGTGGAAGCTTTTCTGACAAACTAAAAGTCAGACATCAGATAGCTTAAGCATTTAATATAGATCTTTTTTTTTTACCACACACCCTGAGACCCATTCAGAACAGGTTTTAGGCATTATCTACACCACTGTCCACATTCTTACTGGGCTGAAGTTCCATCACTATCAACTCTATATATTCCTGTAACCAATTATCCAAACAAAAACAATAAGGTTTTCTTGTTTAACTGTAAAGGAAGCTAACGCTAGCAGCCATTGTGTTGTTGTAGATTTAATTCTGTGCGCCCTGCTCCCTAATAGACACACCACTGAACAAAGCAAACCCATTATATGGAACTTGTGTGGCAACAATCCAGAGTCTAAGGTACAGCCATACCAACAATGATCTGATATGCTGTGGCTCATTTTCTTACATTTAAGTGGAGTTAAATTTGTTCTAAAAAGTATCTGTGTCATACTGATATGTTTAAATGCTGCATAATTGACTCCCACTGTTTTGCAAACAGATCCAGATCCTGCACAGATCCCACTGCGGTTTAATATTCTCTATGCCTGTAACGTAGGGGACGGGGGTCAGTAACTCACATAATAATGTTACTATATGTAATGAATCATCAGAAAAACTTTGTGTCTAGAAACGGGGATTTCGGGATATACTTTGTCTTGTATCCACAAGGAAGTGAGTCAGAACCCCCTTATTACTTTTTCATTTGAAATTGAAAAACCAATGCACAGTCATTTTTCTGTCACAAAAATGCACATGAATTAGTATTGCCCTCACGTCCAATATGGGCACATCCTTTACTGACTGCTAGCGGGAAGACACTTAAATGGAAGCTCCAAAATATCACTCAAATGGGCCAGATTGTTAAGAATGGGGATATTTTAGCATTCATTGAGCAGAAACGAAAAAAGAATTTTTAGGCTTAACAATACAGGCAATACATGCAGCTAAAAGATATATTTAAAGGTGAAGTCACTCATTCTGGAGAAAGATAGTCGACTGTTGAGTCTCATTCCCAGGTTGTCAAATATGATGCGCTCATTCAGACATGAGACCAACGTTGCCATCTCTTACGTAACGTGGTGCATGTCTCCTGTATTACCAAAAAAGTTGCATGTTTTCCATTGTATTTCATGAGCTTTTACAAGCTCACTCTGGGGAGATATATTGTTCTGTATCCGTTATTCACTACATAATTTGGAAGTGGATTTTTAAGAACTGGATTTATGAGGCTGTCAACTGGCAGTGGCAAAATGATAAACCGTTTGGTTTAGAAGCTAATCTCACATTTTTTTATTTTGTTTCTCAGTTTACAGCTGTGCAAGCAGATGGTTCATCAATCCATTTGTTTAATTTCACTTCTGAGGAAATTTTTCACATATAAAAGAAAGCGTTCCATTGTGTGTACAAAGCCTTAGGAATATGCACGTTCCCACAACAGTTGTTTACCGCAGCAGCAGGCACAGGATAACTGGTCGAGTAGGTGTGGATAATAATAGACTGGTGATATTAGCAGAGCATTAATGAGCGTATGGATCTGTGCTAACTTAGTTATAACGTATAGAAGAGAGATAAAAGAAACAGATGCAGCCTCACAAACAGGCTGCATCTTAGCCAGCAGCTTCCATGTGAAAGGCTGGTGATAATGATCTGAATATTAGAGGAAATGCTACTCACCCATATGGCACTGAATCAATAGCCATGTTTCTTCCAACATGGCTAACCAGACCTAACTCATTATCTTTGCCTCTCAGAGTCCAGAATTTGTTATTTTCTTGCATATTTTCTATGATTTATGATACTGATACTTTTTCTATTTGGGCCTGTTTGGTACAAGTGGATTTTAGGGTGAGTAATGCCAAGACAGACAGAGATTAACAGGCCAGTGGGAGTTTAAGATGGTGAAAATATGTACATGTAGCCTACAGCCAGACAGAGTGAAAGACAAGACATGGGCAAGAGTAAACCAGATAGACAGGGAGGGATGACTCAGTGTTTACCGCTTTGAAATTACAAATCACAAAGGTAGATTTGTTTTGAATGGCACAATACTCACAGAGTCACAATACAAACAGCAGCCAGTGGCACCCGTTTTTCACTTATTTCAGGGTGATGGTTAGAGGAAAGGCACACAGTGAAGCCTCAGACTGCTGTGTAGAGTCATGCAGGTAAATACAAAACCTCAGATGCTCAGAAAAGTACAATTTCCAAATCACTTTAGCCTTTCCTCTATAAAAGGACTCCAGTGTAGTCTAGTCCTTCTTCTTGTTGTGTCCCTCTTATAAATCCAAAAGTGATAAAGTGTTGATGATGGATTGAGGGTTAAACATCTTCTGTGTGTGTGTGTGTGTGTGTGTGTGTGTGTGTGTGTGTGTGTGTGTGTGTGTGTGTAGCGAGTGCCCCTGCCTCCCCAAGGGAGATGCTGGCGTTGAAGGAGAGGAAGGCAGATTACGAGTCAACTGGCAATGCCAGTTACCATGGCAACAAGGGTGAACACACATCCCGGAAGGACGCCATGACCGGTAGGAATTTCCGCTGTGTGTATAGTATCTTTGGAAGAAATAGCAACCATGTGTAAGGTGTAGGTTTTACAGATATTAAAGGAATAGTTCAACATTTTGGGGAATACGCCAATCTGTTTTCTTGCAAAGAGTTGGACGAGAAAATCGATGCCACACTCATACAGTATCTGCACAGTAAATGTGAAGCTTGAGCGAGGAGATGGTTAGCTTAGCATGAAGACTGGAAACAGTGGGAAGCAGCTCCAAGATGGATTTTGACAGAGCCAAGCTAGCTGTTTGCCCCACTTCCAGTCTTTGTGCTAAGTTAAGCTAATTGGCTGCTGTTGGTAGCATCATATTTAGAATACAGATGTGAGAGTGGTATCAATCTTCTCATCAGATTATCAACAAGGTGATATATTTAAGTAAATACGCATATTTCCCACTGTCAATCTACTCTTTTTACAGTAAGTTAACTTTTATAAGTGATATGAATATACAGCAAATACTTTCTTTTGAACAATCCAAATTCTACAATCCATCAGTTAAAAAAAGACAAAATGATTAGAAATCTTATATCACCTGGTCATGTTGTACATGTTGACAGCCATATACATCTCACTGTAAGTCAATGTCGCAATGAGATTTTGGAAAAAACCCACTAAATGTCAGTCGGGTCCCTCACTACTCAGGGAACCTTAGAGAGTGTTGGTAAGCTCCTGACATAAATAGAGTCTAATATAATGTGATATTTTGATCAATACAATGCTTTAATTATTTATTGTGTACTGGAAACCCCATTAGTTGTTGCCTTGGAAACATCTACTCTTCCTGGGGTCCACGGGATTAATGTGTGTGTTTTCAGTGAGGGTTTCAGTGCTTCATTATGTTAATGTTTCCAGACATTTTTGCCCACTGACAGTAGTTCCAGACTCTCCTTCATCATCATCATTCACCATCATTTCAATTCTTATTCTTAATGAAAGATTTGTCACGCCCACCTCCTCTCTGTCCCTGCAGGTCAAATCTCCGGTGGGTCTTCCACACTACTCAGAGGAGCATACGTGTCGCCTACTGATGACCTGAAGTACAATCAGGTACAACAAGTCACTTTTCTTTCAAATTGTTCATAATTACATTACGTGCACAGATGTGGCCATTGCTGTACTCCTAAAATGTGATCACATAGCACTTTCCTCTTCCCTGAGACAAGTTGTGCTCGCAGAAATATCAGAGCTTTGATCTTGGAGTAGTCACTTCCTTTATGTGATAAATTACCACTATGAGCTGCCATTTAAATGAGCTACCAATTGGTAGAAGAATGAATTAGTCATGGAACAAACCAAGGAAAGATGTTAATGGAGGGGAAGAAATGAAAACACCAAAGGCAGATTTATTAATACATTTCAGCTTAGAACTTTTAGGTGTCCCTGGTTCTCTGAGGGAAAAACATTTGAAGACCCTCAACAGTTTCGTTCAGTCTCTTGCTCTTCTTTGCATCTTTCTTTCTTGATGTTGACGTTTTTCATGCTGCACTGCAAGCTCTTCTTACCGCTTTATGACTCATATAACCTTAAAGAGAATAAGGAACTGCTGTATAGTAACCCTTTAAAAAGCTATAGATGGAGACAAAATATCACAGCAAAACTAGTCCCTTTATCATATGGGAATTTAATAGTGACAGCAAAGGGGATAAAAATACTATGAAGTCCAAAAAGGTCACTATAAATTTCTAAAGACCTACATTTATACTTTATAGGAATACTGCAGTGAGTTGCTCTTAGGGTCTGGCATTTGATTCTGTATTGTCGCCAGTAAAAGCCTTTCATATTACCCATCACACCCTTTGGCAGTGGTATCTCAGGCTGGTTGTATCTCTGGACTTATGACTTGGCAGTCTCACAGCAACGCACAACAGTGGAAAGCACTGATGGCTATCACCCCTGAGCAATCAAATCAATTTTGTGTTTAAATATTATTTTCTGAACTGGACAGCCAGCCACCTTGTTGTAAACCAAAACCTATTGAGCTAATGACACTGAAAACATGTCTGTGTTATATACAATTGGCTTTACTGTATGATAGTACTAAACTGACCTAAACCAAAATGAGTGCTGCTAATTCACGTTTGCTGGTGGTGGAAGACGGATGGCTTCTGATGGAAAATGCATCACATTGTTTTATCTAAAATGTACAAGTCACCAACAGGTGTGAGCCTGTTTTCATGATAAACCTGATTATTTTCATTATCAATAAATCTGCTAATGTTTTTTTTTTTAGTAATCAGTTAATTGGTTTTGCATTTTAAAAAAACTGCTTGTTCTGTCCAAGTGAGGTATTTCTCTTATGTCACAGATGACTAAGAAAATCAGCAAATATTCACATCTGATTGACAGGAAACATTTTTTTCAGCTCCAAAAACAGTTTCTGAACTAGACATATGACATGTGTCCAATTACCTGGCATATTCTGCTGGCTAACTGTTAATGGTCTGACACACACAAGTCATTTATCACTGAGAAATAACAATTGTGTTGCATAAAACTGTAATTTATTAAGACATTTCTCTCTGTAGATAGCAATGCCTATTGAAAAAAGTGAAAAAGAGACAGTGTATCCAATGCCTTCAATTAGCCTTGTAAGTTAACGTCATGGATGAAATATAGGGTTGGGAAGGTGAGTTCAGGTCTCAGATTGGGTAGTACCAGTCGGGTTCAGACCAGTCCAGCCTGAAAGAAGAATTGTAGCCTGGGTTAGCATTTTTACTGCCACTAGCTGCCATTAGTCACTGTAACTTCATGTGTTATGCTAGAAGTCTATCAATGTGCAGCGTGTGTTATGAAAAACCTTTGGAAATGTGAGGAGTCACATTCAAATTGACATCTAAAAGGGTAGTTTTAATGTTTTTGATCAAAGTGAATTATTTCTAAAGCTGTCAGTACTTTGAGGCAATGTCCTTTCTGACACACAGCTGTGTGCACTTCTCGATTGTTTGTCTTTTACAGGTATTTTACTTTAGCATGGTCAGCTTAGAACACTTGCCCTCACTTCTTCACTTCATGCTGTTTTTAATTTTTTTGCAGGTCTCCTCTCAAGGCCTGCCTTCAGAACCCTACCCTCCTTTCCAAAATCCTCCCCCTCCCGACAGCGGCAACTACGAGGACCAGGCCTTCTACGAGAACCAGGTTCACCCGGGAGGGCGCCCCCCGCAGGGTGACCTCAACATGCACTTGCAGGGCCTCAAGTCCACTGGCAACTATGTAGACTTCTACTCAGCCTCGCGGCCCTACAGCGAGCTCAACTATGAGACCAGCCACTATCCAGCTTCTCCGGACTCCTGGGTCTAAGGGGAGTCGAGGGTGGAGGATTTGGAGCAGGAGGAGGAGGAGAGGATGGATGAAGGAAAATGGGATGATGAAGCGGGTAGTTTCAAAAGTGGAGGAGAGAAGATGAAAGGACAGCTTCCCTCCCTCCCCATCCTCCCCTGTAGTTCCTGAGTAGCATCATAGGTAGCAGGAAGACGGAGGGGGAGGATGGAGTGCAGGAAGAGAGACATGAGGAGATATCTGAGACATTACACTCCTTTCACAGACATCTGAGGGGGGAGAGAGAGAGAGGGGGAAAAGAAGGAAAAGAAGTGAACGGACGAGCGGCCATGCATGTGCATGCACACCACCAACAAAACCGACAGACACATTTTCTTTCTGTGTTTAGTTTGTGATCAACTACTGCTAGACGGTTCCGCAGACAGAGCGATGGCCTCCTGCACCTGAAGGCCTCTGGATACAGAACGTAGGAGGGACGGACATGATGAAAGAACAAAGAGGGCAGAGATAGAAAAAGAGGGGGAAAATATGTGGTGAAGAAGAAGGACAGTGAAAGAGAAGAATGGATCAGTGGACTCGAGGACGGAAGGTTTTGGATTGTGGATGGAACGTGTGAGAGATAACCAGGAGAAACCTGTAAATATGTGGTATAGCAACATGGCTTTTAGTAATGTGAAGCACAAGAGGCAGAGCTGTAGGACATGTAGGACGTCTGTCACACAAACTTTTGTTTCTCTGTATGGCTTCAGCGTGATGTATCCTCCTCTGGGCAAAGAACGCTTCTGGACTTTGTCATTTGTAACAGGTTCTGTTTTTTTTCTTTTGTTGTGTTTCTACTTTTTTAATTCTCGATTCTGGTTGTATAGTATTTGATGTACACTGTACATTTACGAGATGCATTGTGTACTGTACATTGCACTATTTTCTGTGTCATGTCAGGCCTTTCGCCATTGGGTCAACCTCACTTCCTCACTCACTTACCCACCCCCAATACACACACACACACACACACACACAAATACACACACAGACTTTCAAAGTTCATATCATAGCTCTAGATGGATATCAATGATTCGCTACTGTGAAACACTGGATATGAATTGGGTATTGAAGCATCAATTCTGGTAGGTCACGGTGCTCCTTTTACTGCCCTACAGATAGTTTTCACACAATAGCTGACAGTACAGCTGCCAAAGTAAAACAGTCGAGCAGCCTTTTCCGTGACAAAACTCAAATTTTTTTTTTAGGCTAGCTTTGTTTTCTTTGGCGGCTATCTTTCCACATTAACACCTCAGATCCCCGTTTCGTTCCCATGAGCCCCTCCTTTGAGTGAACTGTGCTCATTGTGTATATAACCGTGCCAAACAAGGGTTACTTCCCCCCAGCTGGAGAAGGCAGGGGGGACAGTTAGGGGCGTGTTAAAGGGTCCAAGTTCAGCTGAAGCTCTCAGCGGAACATCCTTGCGGTTCTAACGATGCCAGTTTGTAAATGCTTTGGTTTTTCTAAACTGTGTTTTACTGGGATGAAAACTGTCTAACTGCACCGGGACTGGGGAGAAAAACATAAAAAGAAAAAAAAACCAAAAGGAAAAAAAAACCCATGCGACCAGGCGGAGCATCGCTTCCTCCAAAGTTGTACAAATTTAGTTGATTTCTGTGTTGTAAAATAATCAATGTTTGAAGTACAAAAAAAAAAAAAACTTTTCTGAGAGATGGGTGGCAATTCTAACTTCATGGTAGACAAAACTGTTAATAGAGTACGGATATATATTATATAAATATAAATATATACTTTTTATGTGCAGATGTGGATGTCACTTATAGCAGCAACATTATGGAAAAAGACTTGTAAAAAAAAAAACAGCTACATGTAGGAATTTTGTTCACACTTTATTTTCTGGTCAACACACTAAATTGTCGACTTTGTGTAGTAATGTTGTTGCTATGTGGAGTAGAGTAGGGCCCAGGGATCCACGTTGTCACTGAAGCAGTCTAAAAAGGTGCTACATCCGTGAGAAGTATTTCCAACATGTCTGTATTTTAACTGTGCACAAAATATTTGTTCTCCTTTGCATCGCGATAGCAAACTATTGATTATCAGCCGCGAGTTCCGATCATGTCACAGGGGACTGTTTCAAACCACATAACAAAGAACAATCAGCTGTTCATGAAAACCCCCAAAATCAATTGGTATCATGATGCTAAACAGCAAATTGAACCCATGAACGCATGTGTATTTGTTGTCTGTAAATCAGGAACTAAATGAGTGATTTATTGTTTTTTTTAATTTTTTGTTTTTTGTAAGAAAGGCAAAATTGTAAAACGGACAACAGACCCTGGTTCTCCCTACCCACTGCTGTTTAGAAGTCCTAGAGGTCATCTTCCAATGCTTGAAAAATGACTCATAATGCAACTGTCCCCACGAAAACACTGGATGAAAAACAGACGAACTGTATTTGTTAGTGAGCATCTGGAAACTGACAACGTTATGTATGTCCTTGTGATCCTTAGGCAGAAAAATCCTGACTATAAGACCTGTATGGAGATATAATGTCGGTAACCTTTTTGTTGCTAGACCAAACGTGTTTTAAAAAGAGAATTGTGAATCTTTCTATTGCCTCAAACAGATTGCAACTGCTCCAAAAAATATAAACGGACCATCGAAGAACCTTTGACTGTGAGAGTTGTTTGTTCTGTTGCCATAAGAGTGTCTTTGTGGTATTTTTCATTATGCTAAAACCAGGTTCTGTGTTTAAAAAGCACAGATTTTAACAGTATTCCTAACACTTACCATGAGCTTTTACTTTGAAATCCTACTTTCCCTGCAGCCTTTGCGTTCCTCTCCCTCAGTACAGTACCCAAATTCACTAACAAAGACTTACTGGAGACAACTAATCCATCACAGTGAACATGGTGTTGCTTCAGTGTTTCAGTCAGTCAGTTATTGTTGTGTGGTCCTGTAGTTCCAAAAAGGGACAATTTTTCAAACCTCTCCTGGCTGGTGCGTTCAAGGACACATTTGGTCACCAGTTGCCAGAAAGCAGTGCACCGATAAGCTGTGTCGCTGGAAAATGTAATGCAAGAGAAAAACATAGCAGAAACATCATGAAAATGTGAGTTGTATTATTATAATTATAACTGTTATTATTATTATTATTATCAGCATAATAGCACTAATAGCATGAGTAGTAATAGTATGGGCTACTGAGGCTGTGTGTGCATGGGGGCAAATGTTTGAAATAGAACCCAATGTGCTTGAGACCCAGTATACACAGTGTCTATTTCATATTCTGTAATTCTTTTCTTATTTAGAAAGCTTAACATTACAGGAACAGGAATCATAGCAAATCAGCTTTTAGGTTGCATTATTTACTAAAATCAAGAATACAACGCAAAAAAAACAACAACTGACACATTTCCATACATTAGTGCATAGAAGTCAGCTAAAATAGGACCTTTTTTATGGCAGAAACGTAATGAAAAATATGCGTAAATGAGAATTGTGCTTCCTGGTGGGCTGACAGCAGACAATCCTCACCAGTGTGCTGTGAGACCTTTAAGTGACGCTGGACAGGAAAAGCAAAAAAAGGCAATTTGACTTAGAGAAGACTGGAGACAACTTTGTCAAAACACCTAAAAGACCGAGCTCAATGTGTGAGACTGGGCTCAAGAACAGAGCTGTCCCGTTTATATAACTGTACATTACTTTACACACGTTTTTTCCATTCTCTGCTACTCTATACCATCACACATCAGGGAAATGTTGTACTTTTTACTCCACTACATTTATTTGGCACATATAGTTACTAGTTACTTCTTACAGGTGTTGGGCTAGTTGCCCAAAATGTTTTATTTATTACTCATTACTCTCTTCAAAAGTAATATTATTACTTTACTTATTACTAATTAGTTACACTACTAGCTAGCACAATTACTTACGTTTCTGATGAAAATCAGTAATTGTGACCCTTCCCCCCAAAATTCAGACTTACAGTGATTAAAATCCAGTTTTGTTTGTTAAAATCAAAGTAATGGAATATTTCCAGCTGCTGAATGTTTCCATCTTCCAAACTAGTTTCCTCCGTGATTACAAAAATGAATCAGAGGATGTGATTGGATTGTTGGATTTTAAGTCAGTAGGGGTTGACAACAAAAGTAATATTGTAACTAGTTATTTTTGGGGGGAAATTGTAATATTATTAAAACACATATGCTTTTATGATATGCAACACTATACTAGTAATCTACCCAGTGGTATACAAAGTATCTCAAATTGGCTCCACACTGAGGAAGCACAAGATTAAAATGCTCTTATATGTAATATAATAGGGTCTACTGTGCGAGAAGCCATTCTGCATGGTGATAGGATATAACTTTAAGTATATTTGCTTATAATACTTCTGTACTCTTAGGGAGTATTTTGCGACCATTTCTATTTTACTTGAGTAACGGACCTGAGTACTTCTTCCCACTGTTTAAATCTGGGTTTGAAAGCAGAAATCATTGCAAATTGCTTTGTATAATCCATTAACTGCTAATTTCAGCACTTTAATTGGCACTGTATGAAAATTCCCCACAGCTTCTACAGATGGAAATACTGGGTGATGCAGTCTCAGCCAGCCGCAGAAAGCTTTCCAGTGCTTCAGAACAGATGAGAACAGAAGATTGAATGCTTTAGGCCACTCATGAGATAAGCTCTTATTCTGAGCTGTGTGTGTGTGTGTGTGTGTGTGTGTGTGTGTGTGTGTGTGTGTGTGTGTGTGTGTGTGTGTGTGTGTGTGTGTGTGGAGAAGAGAGTGTAGGTGAATGTCCAGGGCCATGTGTATGCTTGTACAATACATACCTGTAAGTACATGTGTGTATCTTAATACTACATGTAAGTATATTGATGTCTAAAGGGCCATGAGTGCTCTCTAGTGGTCATTAGAGAAACTGCAGCACAGGTCAGGGTGGCGGCCATTTTAGTCTCTGCAGACAGAGCACCACACCAAAGGCACAGCTTTTATCTTCAGATTTTTGGGGTGGGTCACATCTTTTTCCATCACACATGCACTGTTGGAGCGCAGAACAAAGCGTGTGCGAGGCGCTCGTCACAGCTCCAGGGATGAGAGGTAGGCAGAAGTGCATCTTTTTCCTTATCTCAGCTACACCACCAGTATTTTACGAAAGACACCTGTTGTTAAAAACAACATGTGGCAGACTCTGGAGGCTGGGTTCATGAATTCTACCTCAAGCTGCACTTCGTACTGGCATACAGTGTTTCTCTGCTGCTGAGGTAACAAAGCAAAAGAGGTTTGTGAGATGTTCCACCTCAGCATATAAAGTGTTTGATCAGCCAAACTTTGGAAAGCTCCCCAGTATAATAAGTGGGTGCAGTGAAATATTTTACAGTATTTTTATGGTTCCCAGGAAGATGATTTTTGTTGGTAAGTTCTGGTCATGTGGGAGATTCCTGTAGTGATTCAGCACTCTAAGAAGAAGACCTAGTTCATTAATCCTGAGCTACTGCCACCCCTTATAAGGTTTAACAGTGAGACTACAGTGCACAAAACTCCCTCCGGAATTCCGCTGATTGTTCCTTCAACCTACAGACATCATCCCTGAGAGGACAGTAAATCAGTTTCTACTTGCTGTACAGTTTTCCCACCAAAACACACTTCAGATCACATATGAACCAAGTCTTGACAGAATGTTGTATTTGTTGCTTTTGCATGGTGTGGTAAGTGCAGGCTTGGGGAGTAACGGATTGCATTAACTGAGCTACATAATCAGGATGCAAAATAAGGTAGCTGTAATCCATTACAGTTACAGTACAGTTACAGACAAAAATACATTAAGTAAAAATGGGGATTATTTAGCATTAAAATTCAACAGTTTGTATAAAAATACAACACATTTTTGATCCTAAAACCTTTCCCTTCTGTTGTCTCATAGAATACTCTTGCATCAATGCTTCTTTTTGATAGTAATTTTCTCCTGTTCTGTCTTCTTATTTGGTGTTGAGGTAATCCAAAAGTAACACAAACAGGTAATTAGTAATTGTATCAGATTAAATTTTTAACCCTCCCTCCCAACCCCAAGTGGTGAGAATGTATTCTTCATAATTTAAGCATTTAAGCACTGTGTATGGATTGCACATCGTGTGTTGCTGTAGTAATATTAAAGTGATTTTTTCAGTTAGGCAGCCTCAGAACATCACAAATTAGTTTACCGCAAGTCATTCAGAGGATATTTGTGTGTAATGGGTCACACAGAGAAAGACACTACACAATTAGATGGTTCATTTCAACTTTATGCACCCATGAATGACAAAGAGGTTCATGAAGTTGACCTATGAGCCCTTTATTGTAGCTTAGCTTTCAGAATCCCTCGTCAAGATGCTATGACATGGATTCGTCAGGCCATCAAGTCTTAATTCAGTGAATTTGGCATGTAGATTTGGTTTTCCTTTGCTTGGAGTCAGCTATGTAGTCAGTAAATGAAATGCAGTTTATTGAAGTGACTCAAAGCTGAGCCACTGATGCTTCTAAATCCCACTCCAGCGTTGTTTCTCCACCCTCTCAATATGTAAGTATGATGATATCCTCCATCAGCTTCCATCCCAGTGCCAACATGCTTCAACACTGGGTAGAAAGGAGTTTTGCTCAGTAGTTTGTGTTCCACTACCTAAGAGTTCCAGTTTTTGGCAGAAATGTAAAAAGTAAAATCCGTGCTGTCGGACCGTAATGGTCTCCATCCAGACCAGTTCAGTCCCAGAGAAAAAGAGATCAGAAGGAGAAAAGAGTACAGAGCTTGTGCATCCCTTTGGTATTACATGCTTTACTAGCATCATACTCTGTCAAGTTTCATGACGGCTTAAATATTAAAGGGACATTTGCCTCACAGCACAAAATGGCCATAATCAATCTGTGCTCACACCTCCACTTAAAAACACAACTGATTACTTTATTAAGATTTTTGGGGAGTCTGCACTAATTATTAAGTACATTTTCAACAATTTGGTTGCAATTCCAAGTGTTTACCACTAGTTGGTGATAAAGGTAATACCGTATATTACAATTAAACCAATCTCATTCATCTTTTATAAAGATTTACATACCATATTTGGTACTTTTCCTCACTGTCATTTTTGTAGCAATATATGTAATGTATTTGTGTTTCCAATGCTTTTTTTCATTACTGTCATTCCAATGCAAAATTTAAATACACATGCACAGGAAGAACTAATGGTGGCCCTCCGTTTCTTACAGAGTAGGTGAGATACAGCAGACAGTAGCTGTGGACTATCCCTTGTGATTATTTTTTAAGTCAACAAGTCACAGTCTCGCACTAAGCTGTTTATTTTTGGCTCTGCCTTTCCAATTCTCCACAAAGCCTTTACAAAGCCACTGTGAGCTGGTTCCTCAGCTCAGCTGTCAAATACTGCTCATAAGCTCGCCCCTGTTTTGCAAATACCTGTTCTACTATGTATCGGTGTAAAATGGCTTCTTGGCTTCCTCCTGCGTGCTCAGCGATCCCTTTCCTGTGGCAATCTGCTGTAGCAGCCAGCCACCAATCTTCATTTGGCCGTGTCGGAGCTCTTCTCTGCATCCTGTGAAATCCCTCCAACTGGCTGCCACCTCTGGGCCGTTTCAAGCCCCATTTCTGCCCTCTTGATATTCCTTGCTGGCATATTTTACTGTCAAATTTTACTTTGTTCAACATTTTGCGCTATGTGTCCTGTACTCATCCTTTCCAACTCAGCATTATGTCCTATTGCTGTTTTTTGTATTTCTCCCTTTTCCTTCCCTTAGTAATTACTGAGTCTTACTGATGTTACTGAAGTTTTCCTCATTCTTTGCAGCTTGGTAGCATGTTCCGGGTCGGGAACATCGATTTCTGAAGTATAGTTGACCATGACACTTCTTTTGCCATCCATGTGTCATTGAATTTACCATAAAAATAAGCTGCCAACGTAGAAACATTCATTTCTTTCAGCATCCTAGCAGGAATTACAAATTCTACACTGTATAAATTATGCCTCACAAATTAAGCATGTGAAGGTAGAAACAAGGCAACAAATTCAGCAATATCGGCAATCTCAGCAAACAAAAATGTGCAGTTATATTGACATTTAGAGTTGACGTTTAAAGGAACAACATATATGGAAGCGATAGCACTCTGTATTATAACAGCCAGCTCTTTGAAGTTGTAGCAAGTCATGTCCTGCTTTCTCAAATAATGTGAACATACAGTACGCCCCTTTCCCCTTATCTCCTCCTTATCATGAGTAACTGTCTTTGCCTCTCCTCCTCCCGCCTCCTCTCTACTCTCTTCATCTTGTAGTTCCAATTGGGGATCTCGAGCTGGTTGTGGTTACTGTTCTTTCTGCGTTTTTCCGGTATAAAGGTCGGAGCTGGGGCTTTGCAGAGCCTCACTTTGGGCACCACAATGCCTGACCGCACGCTGCTTCTCCTCAGCATGTTCAGAGGCAGGAGACTTGCTCGTCTCATGGCCACCGTAGACACCGCGGCCACTTTGCTCAGCAGCTGAGGCTGGAGGCTAGCCCTCCGATCCCTCGTCTTGGGGATGAGAAGGACCCGCGAGTTCTGGAAAAATAATTTGTAGTTGTTCAGTCTGTCCGGGCCCAGGCGCTTCAGCTCAGCCACCCGTTGCCTCCTCAGGATCTCCTGCACGGCTTGACGGCGCTTCCCGATGCACGGCGGGCTGCCCGGACTCAAGGTGCGGCAAGCTGTGGCAATGAATGGACTGGAGATACTGGTGGTGACGCGGATCATGTGGTCAAGAACGCCGTCATCCATGGGGTTTATCTTGTTGTTGATGTAAAACCTATAAGGGCAGCAGGAGAGGAGGTTGAGCAAACGCCTCCAGCAGGACTCGGGCTCTTGGGCCTGGGCCACCAGCTCCTGCAGAACAAGATCAAATGTTATAGTTTCCAGGAATCAACCTAAAAAAGAACACATCTTTACTCCTTGTATTGAATATCTCGCAGGGCGATAAAAGGCATTATGTGGTGCATTTAATAGTAGAACTGTAGTCATGATGAATTGTTTTAACCTCCAGCATTGGCCACTCCAGGGAGAAGGAGTCACAGAACTGCTCTGCACAGGGCTTTGCCATCAGCCGATACATCAGGTTAGCCGTCTCGTATCGACCAGTGAAGAGAGCCCACTCCCTGGGTGTCATTTTGCGGCCGTAGTCCCGTGCCTGAATATCACTTCCTGGAAACAGGAGTTTATGGAAGTGGTCAAAGTGAGGGAGAATCTGCTGTATGGATGAATGTACAAATGTAGAGCAGATTACAGTACAGATGTAGTCACAAAGGAGATTTGTACCCTGATATATACATGTAATACACATAGCTTTCAGTCGCTTGCAAGAAGATAATTAAAATTTCTGTGTTTTACCAGCCAGCATGAGAGCTCTGACACACTCAGCCCGGCCCTGCATGGCAGCCTTCATCAAAGCTGTGAAACCGTGACAGTTCCTCCTCTCGATGTCCAGCCCAGGGAAGTAGTTGAGTAGGTAGTTAGAGATTGTCATATGACCTGCAGACAAGAGAGAAACACATACATTGAATAGCTGACATATTGTCTTTGCTGTTCTATATTTCAACGACTCTCAGGTCAGACTCGAACCCATGGTCACCACAGCAAGGACCCAGCCCTAGGACATGAGCCACCAGCGCACCCACATTCGTCACTTTTCTACGTTCTATCTCACTTCTACCATATATCTCGAGGAAAACATTGTAGGTGGCATTCTAACCCACCTCCACCCCAGCTCCTCCTTTTATGTTGTATCTGATTAATCAATGGCATTTTTGTTGCCCTTGATTGTTGCAACATGGTGGACTCTGTGGAAGAGGACCAACGCCCTCTGTAGATATAAAGGGCTCATTCTAAGGTAACTGAAACACAATTCTTATTTTTATTTTTAGGCGATTCCTTTCAAATGTTTCAATAAAAACAAAATCTCTTAACATTTTGGTCTGTTAATCACACATTTGCGACCTATTTCAAGCTTATATTTTGTCAGCCACTCACAGTTGCTGATGGGATTTGAAGTCAAACTGTAGCTTTCTACCCTTCAGCACAGCTTCTTAAATGTTCACAACCTGAGTTCCTAACTGAGTTAATCCAGTCTAAATCCAGACTAATGAAAGAGTCTGATCTACTGAAATTCCTTGATATGAGCACAATGCAGGATTAGCATGGAACAGGAATCTGTTAAGGAGTTACAGCATGGTTGAATGGAAGGGTGAGGAGGATGGGGAATAATGGGAGTTCACCTCTGTGGACCTTGGTTTCATTCCCAGCACATGTCTAGACACTTTCCACCTGTAGTGAAGGGTTTAGGTAAAGTATTCGACCACTGTGCTGCTGTTGTGCACCTGTTCCCCTAAGGTGTTGCAGAATACTTTGTCATGAAAGCGGATCGATACCTCTTTTAATGAAGCAGAAAATGAAGAGTAGTCTGCAGCTATTCATCACAGGCCACAGGGAGCCATTCATCATCGTTAGCAGATGAGAGGCTGAGGCGCCATGTCTGATACATGTGGATGCATCACTGAAATTACTTACCATGGTACTTTCTAATGCCAGCAAATAACAGTGATTCTAGCAAATGGAAGCACCAGACCTCATAATATGCTCTGTGCTTTAATTTGGGCCAATTCTGAAACTCAATTCTCTGCAATAAAATGTCGACCACTGTAAATGATGCATTAAAAGTGTGTGTGGGGGGGGGGGAGAAACATAACAGTATCCAAGGTACGCAACATGTCTTACTAGAAGACAGATTCAATATTAGCTATACAGTAAAATGGGTTTATAAATACACAAATTGATCATTCAACAAAAGCTTTCAGAGGATCAAACAGGTTGTAAAGAAGCCAATATTTTTTTTTCTAGTTATTTTTTTGGCCTTTTAATGGCTTTATTTGATAGATACAGCTGAAGATCGACAGGAAAGGGGGGTAGAGAGAGGGGATGACACGCAGCAAAGGGCCGCAGGTCAGATTCGAACCTGAGCTGCTGCAGCAACTCTGTATGTGGATCGCTAGCTCTACTGACTGAGCTAACCAGGCGCCCCAGAACCCAATATTTCAGACACATTTCTGTGGAAGAGAGGAAAAGAAAGGGAATAATAAAGGTATTACCCTAATTGTTAATTGTCAGCCATAGATATAAAATAAGATAATAACTAGATACCAAATGCCAAGATGGCACGAACTGCTCGCCTGGCGCATACGCCAAAAGCTTTTATAGCTTCCAGGTTTACTTCCTCGTTATGTGGACTAGAGTAATGTTTCTCCCACTTCTACCACCTGCAACTTTCCATTGGGATGAAATCACAGAAGAATAAATCCCTTTTCTAAGCCTGAGGAGTGTTTTACAAATATTAATAGGTCCATGGGTCAAAAATGAATAATAAAAAAGGGCCATAATTGACATTTCAAGTTGCCCTGTCAAGAGTTTTACACGTTTCTTTTATAATGGGGGTAGATGAGTCACAATGGAGTCGCACTGTTTTTTGGCCATAGGGGAATTTTTTTCTGCAATACCAAGAATGGACACTAGGTAAAATGAACAGCAAGGCAGAGTGGCGCCACTGTATCTAGTTCTTTTATATATCTACACTGAACAAAATTCTAAATGCAACACTTTTGTTTTTGCCCCCATTCGTCATGAGCTGAACTCAAAGATCTAAGACTGTCTCTATGTACACAAAAGGACTATTTCTCTCAAATATTGTTCACAAATCTGTCAAAATCTGTTTACACTCTGAGCACTTCTCCTTTGCCGAGATAATCCATCCACCTCACAGGTGTGGCATATCAAGATGCTGATCAGACAGCATGGGTGTTGCACAGGTGTGCCTTAGGCTGGCCACAATAAAAGGCCACTCGAAAATGTGCAGTTTCACTGTATTGGGGGGGTCGGGGGGGGGTCCGGAAACCTGTCAGTATCTGGTGTGACCACCATTTGCCTAACGCAGTGCAACAGATCTCCTTCGCATAGAGTTGATCAGGTTGTTGATTGTGGCCTGTGGAATGTTGGTCCACTCCTCTTCAATGGCTGTGCGAAGTTGCTTGATATTGGCAGGACCTGGAACACGCTGTAGTATACGTCGATCCAGAATGAATGGCACAACAATGGGCCTCAGGATCTCGTCACGGTATCTCTGTGCATTCAAAATGCCATCAATAAAATGCACCTGTGTTCGGTGTACAGAACACACGCCTGCTCATACCATAACCCCACCGCCACCATGGGCCACTCTATCCACAACGTTGACATCAGCAAACCGCTCACCCACACAACGCCATGCACGCGTCTGCCATCTGCCCTGTACAGTGAAAACTGGGATTCATCCGTGAAGAGAACACCTCTCCAAAGTGCCAGACGCCATCGAATGTGAGCATTTGCCCACTCAAGTCAGTTACGACGGCGAACTGCAGTCAGGTCAGTCAGATGAGCTTCCCTGAGACGGTTCCTGACAGTTTGTGCAGAAATTCTTTGGTTATGCAAACCGATTGTTGCAGCAGCTGTCCAGGTGGCTGGTCTCAGACGATCTTGGAGGTGAAGATGCTGGATGTGGAGGTCTTGGGCTGGTGTGGTTACACGTGGTCTGCGGTTGTGAGGCCGGTTGGATGTACTGCCAAATTCTCTGAAACGCCTTTGGAGACGGCTTATGGTGGAGAAATTAACATTGAATTCACGGGCAACAGCTCTGGTGGACATTCCTGCAGTCAGCATGCCAGTTGCACGCTCCCTCAAAACTTGCGACATCTGTGGCATTGTGCTATGTGATGGAACTGCACATTTTCGAGTGGCCTTTTATTGTGGCCAGCCTAAGGCACACCTGTGCAATACCCATGCTGTCTGATCAGCATCTTGATATGCCACACCTGTGAGGTGGATGGATTATCTCGGCAAAGGAGAAGTGCTCACTAACACAGATTTTGACAGATTTGTGAACAATATTTGAGAGAAATGGGCCTTTTGTGTACGTAGAGAAAGTCTTAGATCTTTGAATTCAGCTCATGATGAATGGGGGCAAAAACAAAAGTGTTGCGTTTATAATTTTGTTCAGTGTATGTATATCTATGTCGTTAACATCCAGCACTTAGTTCCTGATTCAGCTTTGGCCTGTACTGCACATAAATAAATGGTAGCTAATCTGGCTAAACTGCCAGCTAGTTAACAACTTGTAATCTGACAGCTTGTTGCCTCATTGGACCTAGTTTTAGGATTATTGCCTAGTTCAGCAATTGAGCTCAGCTATTATTTTGATGAGTACAATGTTAGTACTGATGGCCGGAGATATGAAAAAAACACAAACAATAAAGCTTCAAGTTGTCATAAAGAACTACACAAACAACAAAATGTTATTCATGTCATTGTTACATATTTACTGATTACTAAAGAAACTAGAAGCATTTCTTGGTATGACAACACTTTGTCTTATTATTTCACAACATGGACGTATCTTTGTATAACTACATACGTATCTTATTAAAACAAGAAACTTGTTGTAACATGATTGTTTGTTGCCCAGAGACACTAGCCTAGAGTAGTGATTCCCAACCTGGGGGTCAGGACCTCTACTTGTGGTCGCCAAAGCTTTACGGGGGTTGCAAGGCCTTCTTGATTTTAAGGGGTGTAAGAAAACTTCTAAACTTCTAAACATCTTAACTTTGAACACCTGAACACAAGTTGTATTCACAGAGCCTTCTCTCTCTGCTAAACAGCCTTGTACTGAATTAGAAAAGTTAATACAACCAAAGAGCTAATAGAACAATGGCTAAACATCAGGGGAATAAAATACTGAATTAGTCCAAAAGCCTATTAGGTATCATTGGTAAAAATTAAATAAACATAACACAGACAATATCAGGAAAAAATCCTATCTGAAGCAATATTCACAGGAAAAGTCACAAATTTTAGACAAACTTCATGGAGTTATTTTGTTATAATATTTGGGTTCATTGTACAGTATTCTGTACTGTTATTGTTATGCATTGAATATAATATGAAATGTCACTTTTTTGATTAATCGGGTAACTTAATTGAGAGCAAAATATTAGTCAGGTACAGTCTGTACAAGCCCACACAGTCAAGACAAGAGTCAATCTGTCTAATAAGTCAAAAAACACTACCTGTGGGGGTGTTTTTTAAGAAATACTAGCACTAACAACGCCCCTGCTATTAGTTACAGGCTCACCATGATTGTTACATTTGTTTAAAGTATCACACCAATAGATGTTTAAAAATTCTAACTATATAGGAGTTCAAAAAGCCAGAGGTGTGTTTACCTGCTTGTGCTGCAGTAATAAGAGCAGTGTTGCCCTCGTTGTCCTGCCAGTTAACATCGAGATACGGGCACTGAGAGAGGGCGATGACCACGTCCACGTATCCATGGTAGCAGGCCACAATCAGGCCAGACTGAAACACAAAACAAGAGTGCTTGAGTTTCCTCATTTCTCCTCGTATGAGATTGATTTTGTCTTTTAAAAACACCAAAAGGGTTTCTTGGGGCTACGGTGAAGCTTGTTTTAATGGATTCATAGCTGTATTTCCTCAGAGGAGAAAATCATTGCAGTAATTCTGATGAACACAAATAACGCTTATCAGTCATGCTGCCTACAGGCCAAATAAAAGGATGTTTTTCACAGTGCATAACAGACTGATAGGGAGTCTGTAATAGCCTGTTAGCTCAGGCTAAACATGGGTTTCCAACTGGAGTGGTAAGTTGCCGAGCATCTAATTGCCCAAATTGCAACTGGCTGGTTTGCTCTTATTTAAAAGGAAAGTAATAGCTGTTAAATCAGAGGTTTTGGATTGGGGGTAAATTATTATTTTTTCTTTCATATTTTACCAAACAACACATTAACAAAGGGGACAGGTGTTGCATTATCCAGCTTTTGAGACAGGTAATAAGTCTTCCTGCTAACTGATAAAACAATCCACCAATTCCACCAATCGGCATGCTGAGTTTAACCAGCTGGCGGTGTGACAGAATGTGACATCAAACCAGCACACTGCAGTTTGAGTATTATGTAGTATTAAGTACAGATTTTAATTCTAATTATCAGTAGTACCTAGTGATTGTTTTGTGCAATGTTGAGGTTTAGTGATGACTGAATCAATTCCTATTGCATTAGTAGTTGTATCATATGTTTCTATCTATCACATCTGCCTCAGTGATGGAGATGCACTTTTGTCCTCAGACATCCCCGACCGCCTGAAAACCTGAGGACTCAATTCAGACCAAACTGGATCTTGGGGTGCACACTTTCTTGTCCACCTTGGTTTAAAATTGGAAGTAAAATTAGGTGTTTTAGTCATGAACTAAATTGCTGAGATCTGGTCTCACTCCTAAAAGTCCAGAAAGGCAAATAACAACAGTGGTCAGACGATCACACAGTTTATAGGCAAACCACCACTTTAAGCAGTATCTAAACCACTGATACTTAAAGTGAGCGCTCCTGTAGCATCCCTCTATTGCAAAGAACAGTGTACATTTATAACTGACACCATTTACACCCAGCATTAACATGCAAACTGGATAAGGAAAAACATGTTAATGCCTCTTGTAAATTCACTGTGCTCAGAAAGTTATCAGTGTGTGTAACAGGGGCCTATGGTAAGCACAATGGGTAAAAATGTAATTGTAATGTAACCTCTGGAATCTCAAATATCTTTAAAACAGAGTATATGTAAGTGTTTTCCCTTCCACCCCTGTTCTCCAAAGAGATAAATTCAATGAACAATCTTAAAAATATTTTTAAAATAATCGTATAAAGTAAGTAATTAAGAGTAAACCAAAGTCCTGCAGAAAGGTCTCTATGGTCTGATTTGTGTCAGTAACAAAAGTCCAAACTTGGCCTATAGGGTCTGAGGTCCCAGTAAAAATGTTTCTGTCAGCAGATTTGATACAAAAAGTTTTATGATTCACACAAATGTAGCTTCATTTTGTTGTAGTTCCCACTGTAGCTCCAATCTTCCCAAATTAGGTATGACAAGTATTAAATTATGCCTCGCCACTACCCACATGTGGAAAGCACCTCAAAAGGTACAGCTGTTCAATTCAGTCTTTATGGGATACGACAAGAACTTGATTTAAAGGTAGATCAAGAGGTTGGGATTCTGAGACAATGGTGATGTCATGAATTCAAAGAAATTACTTCAAAGCTTTGACTTTAGAGTGACAAATAAGAGAGAATGTGTGTTAATAACTGAGCAAAATGACTTGACATTTGCTACATATGTAAGTTGCATGTGATGGTACGAATCAAGTGAACTTTGAAAAAACGCAGACCGTATTGCAATGTGGGGAGTTGAAGAGAAATCGTGAATGTTATGCAGTCAGACAATAAGGTCAGTGCTGCACAGTCAGGAGTCCAGTGTGATTCTAATGCAACAAATATTAAAGATGACATCCACTTTACAAATCCTTTGTGTTAAGGTTTTTTGCTGAGTAACACTACAGACAATGAGTCTATTGATTCAACTCATTTCCATGGCAGCATATGCTGTGTCACAGTGCTCTAGGACAGTCCTTCTCTGTCTGTTCAGCTCTACAAGCATAGGCCTGTTACCTAGTGCTTGGGTCAATGTCTTATCAAGCCCTTTAAAAGCTGAGCCCTGATGCCCCTCCCCAATCTGTCACCGGAGGCTTAACCAACTTCTCTGAACCCTCCTTCAGGATTTGACCTTCAGTGGCTGACCCCAAAACCTGATGTGACTGTCAGTGAGAAAAAGTTCACTCTGGGACGACTTTTTTTTTTTTTACCTTTGTGTTACATACAGCTACACGGTTTAGTAATTGGACTGAAATGATCAATTAAAGAATAAACGCTGACACTTTTTAAAGAAATTCTACATTTTAGACTTTGTGTTTTGTGAACCCTAATAAAATCTGAGCAGTAAGAGTTCTGATTAATACTTGTAAACTGTGGACTTAACAGCTTAAAATGGTTAAAATGGTACTGAGTGGACAAACACCCTTGAAGGTATATGTACTTACAAAACATCATGTATGCTGGGCAACAGCAACATATATACCATACCAAGGTATACTATAATTATGATTTTAAATCATATGATTTGAAGGTTTAACAGCTCACTGCTGACAGTGTTGTATCACTGATGCTGCACGTCAAATCAGTTACACGTGGAACTCAATGGAAAATTGGACACATATAAAATACATAATTATCAGTACCTAACACTACTGCTGACTATTTTTCAAACCACAATGTGGTGTCTCATTATTTTGAATGTATTTTGTTTGTTCAAATTGATAAGAAGTTGATAAAAAAAAATGTTTCGTTCCAATGCTCCTGCCAATAAGACTTTCTGGTGCACCAGAACTTTGTACTAATTGTGTTGTATTTCCTACCTTTGAATCAGACATTCTTCTGCATTTATTTCCACACAGTATAAAAATCAGCTTGCTGACTCAAAAGTTACTTGAATTGTGAAATCTATCATAGTGAACGTTAAGTCTGCCAAACTCTGGTCAAAGTTATTATTCAGGTAACACAGAGCAGACTATTAAAATCAGTATGGACTTAATCTGGATCACCATGCGGTGGTATTAATGGAAACCAATGGCTGCATGTAAAGTAGTAAAATACACCTAAAAAGCTGAAACTTAAAACTGAATTCATTGTTGAATGGTCAGAAGTCAACTAAAGTATGCGATCTGCAGAGCTAAAACTTACATAAACTTGGTACATTGGTACAGTTCTTTAAGAGTGATGCTCATGGAACATAATGTATTTTCACCAGTCAGGTTTAGCAAAATTAGTTTTCCAATTGAAAAACATTGGGATTCTGTTGGTTACCATCAGTAAAGTTGGAAACAAAATGAAGACTTTGCTGGTTGCAGGTAAGCAGTGAAAACAAAGCCATCAGTGCCTGAGAATCAAACTTTTCCTTAAAATGCGTTGAACCCAGACACTTACTCTTCTGTTCCTATCCGTCTCTTTCACTTCCTCTTCGGTCACTCCTTGTCTGATCATAATCTTGACGATGATGGCGTTGTTGTTGCAGCAGGCCTTAAAGAAAGAAATTGGCTCGGGGCTGTCAGGGCTTGGTGAGCGGTACATATAGGGTAAAAGTGAATTGTCTGGGGGATAGAAAGAATCGTCTGAGGCAATGCTCTGTGTGTCCGAGTTATCGGACAATGCCTCAAAGTCCAACTCCTCGAACTCCTGGTAGATATCGTCCTCATCCTCCCAATAATTTTGTGTGTAATCAACTTCATTCCCCTCGTTATCGTCCTCTCCTGACACCTCAGACTCATCCCCATTTTCGTCAACATTGATAATGGACATGGTAGGTGTATCCATGTCGACTTTATAGGTCCTAAACTCAGTCTCACCCGGTCCCACGCCTCTGGCAAATCCATTCTCTCGAACCTTTGAACCTTCACCTTGTTCCCCTGTTATTAACACCATTTAAACCCTCCCCTTCCCCCACACACTTTTTAATTTTTTTGTGGGGTGCCAGGACAACTCTAGGAAGCCCTAGAGTTCATGTCCACCATCCTACTGCAATACATTGTCTCATTCTTGTATTTGTTTCTGTGAAATGTCAGGTTTCCTAAGAGATAAGGGTCACCAGAAGTCACAGGGGAGGGGTGAGATCTTTACACATGCTCCCAATCCCTCGGCGAATAAATCTTCTTAGAATGCCATAGAGGTTAGGATTCCCTAGAACTCCAAAAGACAATTTCATTAAGAAAGGTTTGATCATAAGCATGATCTGCGGTAGTCACTCTTGACTCATGTGGCCAAGGGTCAATAAAAACTGAAGTGTTTTCTTCTTGAGAGAGTCAGCGTTGCATTTCCAAATAAATGCAGTTTGATAAACCCAAGAGTATCCATGAGTTTCGAATTGTGGCAAAGCAAACGGCCATTTCCATGTGACTCTTCACAAAGGCGCCAAAAGCATCACCCCTCACATCTGTTAATCATGGCATCAGATCCCAAACGGACTGCTTGAATTCCTGAATTCTTGATGAGAAGTTAAAGCTGAAGTTGTCCTCTGGAAAGTAGAACAGGCAATCGTCTTGTTTGAAAACTGTAACAGTCACCGCTAACAGCACTGTGCAACTAATCCCGTGTTTCCCTGTGGAGAAACACTGGGCTTCCTTTGATGATGGCCAGCAATGGGAGGAGACATTCTCTTGAACTGACGCATGATAATCCCTTTAGTCGTTCTCTCTCTCCCTCTCTTTAGCTCTAGCTGTTCTGTCCCGTTCCCCTCCCCAGTGAGAAGAGTTTGAATGTTTTCTTTTGGAATATAATAAAGTGTAAAGCTGAATGGTACAAGCACAGAGGGAATGTCTTAACTTTTTAAAGTCTTCTCTTGTAATATCTGTAGACGTTTTACAGGGACAACAGAGGAAAATAAGCTATTGAACCAGAGTGTTCTTCTCACAAGACATTAAACACACTGAATAATAAAGAACATGTAAAATCAATGCAACAAACCAAAAGATCCATGCCGATAGTCACATGAACATGAATTTATTAGCTTTGTTCTCACAGAGATATCCTTATTAGAGAATTAAAGTCATTAGTCCACCTGGGCCAGTCAACCCTGCCCCCTCTGGTTTCATCCTCTGATGCACTTAACATTGCCATCTTAAATGGGATTTCTCAACCACGCGTGTGTACAGGGTACAGTGGAAGGACTGGGATCAATGTCCCTAATGTCAACCTTCGTCAATCTAGGGCATTTTGAGTTTGATGAGAGTGAACCAAAACAGTTAAGTCACGGGCCATAATATAAAACACTGTCATTATCATCTGTGGCGACGATTATCTCAGCTCTGTGGAGCATTAGCTTCTTTCGGGACATTGTTTGATTTCCCCACCCATCCTATAGGGCCAATAATTTCGATAGTTTACAGCAAAAATGCTCAAAAAATCTACTATACTATATACTATACTATACTTCCCAGCACCAAACAGCAGACAGACAAAGTTAGCGACTAGCTGGTGAACATAATCAAGGAATAAAGGGTCAGATATTTCCCTCAGGAGTTAGGAGCAGGAATATTGACTCTAAATAAATGCTAATGTTGCTCTGTGTCTTCTGAATGTGTAAATGGATAAATGTGTAACTTAGCTAAATCAGCTTTAAAGGTTATAATGTGTCACTGTGTTCACAACTTGTTTTTCTGCTGCAACCTAAGAGGTCAAAATAACAAATTCATATCCAATCAGAGCAACCTGGTTGTTTAACCTGACTTGAATTTTTGAACATTTAGGAGGATCTTTCAGCAGAAGTGGAATATAATATGTATAGGTAGAAATGTTGTGTTTTCGTTACCTTAGAATGAGACGTTTTTATCTACAGATGGCGCAGGTTGCCTTCTGGGGAGGTCGCCATGTTGAACCATAATGTGTCTACAGTTGCCCAGAAGGGACCGACCAAACACTGGCTGTAGATAGGGCCGTTTTAAGGCGACTCCAGTTTTGCTCTCACAGTTGAAAGGGAGGGTGAAACAAGTGAGTTGCAATCAAGTTTGTGCATTATCACCTTTTGAACTGGAAATATCAGTGAGAAGTTCAACCCACATACACTGGGATAGATAGTTTTAAAAGTAAAATATTCAGTTCTGTTAATTCAGTGGTATTCAAATTTCAACATCAGTAGTTTTAGTTTCACAATCATTCAATCGATGATAACATTTACATTATTAAGGTTAATATTGGCTTCCATATACGCCAAGTTTTCACTGATATAGAATATAATTTACTGTGGTAGTTCTTGATTCCAGTGACAAGGCTGGCTTGTAAATCAGTCTAGTTCACACGGTCATGAACTGAGCAACTGACCTGAGTGTCTGTTGCTCAGACAGTTTTGGATTAATTCCAGTTGTCCTGGTAAGGTTTGCTACAGGCACAGAAGCACTAATCTCTGGTGGTTCAATTCTGCCTTTCCTGAACCGCATTACACCATAAGATAATTGCAAGTTCTCACTGAACAAAGTCTGAAATTTCTGGTGCATGAAGTAGAGCAATATAGATTTTACACTTTTTTTCCCCTGATGTCTGGTTTTACAATAAAGGAAGAAGAAAAAGAAATCAAACTCTTCATGACACAGCACTAATCTCTTCAGAGCTCCTTAAGGAGGGACAAATCACAGGCTCTTAGTCCATGATTTGATCGCCATGAAAAGGTTGATCTCATTATGCTTGTGAAAAATGAAGCGCAGGTTGGAAAAATCTGATTTAGCTTGACATTAGAAATGCTGCTTCAACTGCATGTGCTCCTAATCTCTGCTTGGCTTTCAAAACTGTTAAGACTGTGCATTAGCAGAGAGGTAATTGGATTCGGCAGAAATAACCCCACATCCGGTTTCCAAGAGCTGCGCTTTCCAGAACTGGGCTCTTACAAACGGCTGATGTTGAATTATGATTTAAAAAAAATTCATATTGATATTCAACGATGGTCACATACCTAATATAGTCCAATAAATATATGTAAGTGATCAGTTGCTTATCAGATCTACAAAGAAATTAAAACTAGAAGCTGGATGTGAAAAGCAGTCGGAGAGCGAGTGAGGCTCCACACTGAATCTGTGTGTCCTGGAGTGGAAGGAAAACAAATGAAGCCTAAAAATACAGGTCACTCCAATGCGTAAGACTTGAGCTCTTACATTGACTGTTCATTAGTAGTTCCACTGCCACTTAGCCCTTACTATTATTAAACAGCAGACGTGGCACAGAGGCCTCTTTGAGAGCAGAGGGAAAGCCTGTCGTTGTAAACTTTCAGCTTTAACTTTAATGGACTGACCGGCAGTTGTAGGCTTAGTGCTATCAGAAATACCTGCACGCAGTGGTGCCAGCAGAAGTGCAGACTCATTTCAATGAGGTGATTGTCTTCTGCAGCTAATTGCAATAGGTCAGTACTTGGTAGTTAGCTGCATCAGCCTCTGATTTAGAGGACTTAAGGAGTTTGTTTCAGTGATGTTTAAGGTGGCCGTTATGTTTTGTTGTATGTTTAATCACGGCACACCACTCACAACAGGTTTGTGCAGAGTTCATTTTGTCATAGATGCTGGTTTTACAATTGACCCGTTAACCAAAGTTTAAAACAATTTGTGTACCTGCCTCGTGATTCTGATCTGCTCCAAAACGTAGCACGTAGCCCATGCTACACCCTTCCACCAAGTTTCATGAAAATCAGGCAGGTAGTTTTTCCATAATGCTGACAGAGACAAACAAACAAATAAACAGCACCAAAAACATAACCTCCATGGCAAAGGAACCTTTACACACATAAGCCTGCCTATACAGACCTATGAGATTATTAGAAAAACTGAAACTGAAAAGCAGTTGCATCAGTATTTTCCATGGAGATGCTCATGAGCTTTCCCCTGGCACATTTACACTGATGTATAAACTACAATGTTATTAATGTGGTTGTCCCTGGTTAATAAACAAATAGATAACCAGTTTTACATACATAACTGCCACCTAACCATTGCGACAACTGCATAACTGCAGTGCATTGTGGGTGACACACACCTCTGGAGTTATTCCCTCCCTCAGCTGTGTGTTTATCTTTCAGCAGCGTACAAGAGCACATTCATTTTACATTCATCCTCAGAGGCCTGTGGAGGGATAATTATCCATCCATTCTCAAGGAGGAAATAATTAAACATTAGTAAACAATCAAACATTAGAATGGAAAAAAAGACATGATTTAGTGTTATGGGATTGTTTTTTCCCCTTTTTGTATCATGTTAATCATCTCGCCACTCCTTAGATTTGTCTTGCAATCCCCATATGGGCGTAACAGCGGGATCCACACCTCTGAGCCAAACAGACATGAGTAACATCAGGGACATCTGAAGAAATGAAGAAACTGCACACACTGAGAAATCATTACAACTATTTATTATTGTTTCATCTTACTGAACCAACAATGAATAGACCTTAAAGTATATCACTTTATGTTACAGTACATGCCACTGCCTTTTTTGCACATATAAAAATAGAAATCATTTGCTTCTAGAAATTGAAATTCAAGACCAAAATCTGAAGTGTCCAGCTCAGTTCAAGAACACTAAAAGGTCACTTTATAGCATCATATGAATAATGTGAGCATTCCACACAGCAGCACTACAGCTGTCAGCACTAAAGTTAATGTAATTCACAATCCATATCAATAGAAAAGCAGTTTATATTTACCAAACTCCTAATGAAACACTTCTAAGACAAATGTAGTGTCAAAAAACAGATGCAAAACTTAAAATTTGTCCTTTAAGTAGAACCCATTGTGCAGAGTCGCCACAGTGAAATACTGACATCTTTCAGCCTCAGAGGGAGGGAAATAAAAACCCTGCCATGTTGACTGTGTTACAATGGATTCTGAAATGATTGCAAACTGTGGTATAAAGTGCAACACATTGAAACATTTGCATGGAAAAAAAAAAAAAAACATAATAAAAAAATAGTAAAAAATAAAATAAAGAACTTAAAACTTCTCAAACCCCTCTTAAGATTTTAGGAGCAAGAACGCATCAGAGAATTGGATTCAATTTTCATTGGCAGCGAGAAATAGGGCTGGTTTCTGTCACTGACCCTTTAGTTTTAGTCAGATTATTCATGTAATTGTAATAGTTTTGTTCTGTAGTGGGTGTAGGAATATGACGTCTAACTTAAAATTCTAAAACTTGCTTTGAAACACGGTTTGGGGCATTTTCTTCATGGTAGTGGAGCAGGGGAGACAATGTGGTCATAATGTGGAGACAGTGGGAGTACAACAACTGGACACACATCCTCATGCAAACATTGTTCTGGAAGTAAACGTGGTTGTAGAGACTGAAATGTATGGAACCTTAAAGCAATAGTTTGTCATTTTGGGGAATACACTTAAAGGCTTCCTGGCCAGAGTTAAGAGGGGTATACTTCCTAGAGTCTTCAGGTTGCCAGGCAACCGGTGGAGACTCCAGGAAGTCACCGCCCCCAGACAAGAAGTAGTTCCAGTATGTAACCCCTTGTGAAACTGACAGTCACAATTAGTTTTTCTATGTACAAAACAGAGACATAACATTTTAATTAGTGAGCTTCAGACGTGCTGGCAGGTGGATTATGTTACATTTGGACAGAGCCAGGCTAGCCAGTTTCCCCATGTTTCCAGTCTTTATGCTAAGCTAAGCTAAGCTAACCATCTCCAAGGTCCAGTGTCATATTGAAAGTACAGATATGACTGTGATATTAATCTTCTCAGCCAACTCTTAGCAAGGAAGTGAATGAACATATAATTTCTTTAAAGTTCCATCAGAATACGAAGCTATCATGCGTTTGTGCTGCAGACATTATTTACCTGTGGCTTCTCGTTTCTATGCATTATCCTGTGGGTGGAATATCTGAGCTCGCACTGTGCCCTTCATTTAGCCGTCAGCTCTCACACTACGAGAGAAGCCACTGAAGACCAGACGCCTCAGACTTAGGATTGTTGATTTTAAAGCACATTATGTAGTGACTGTTGTGGATACGTTTGCCATAGAGTAATGTATGCTGTGCTCCGTTCCTTTCCTCAGAATAGCAGATAAACCTTTGAAGACATGAAGGACCCTCAAACACATCTCCCTGAGCTCCAGTGTCACCAGTGTCAGCGTCAACCTTCAGTTAAATCCCAACCTCAGCTGCGTGAAGAGGTAAAGTAGAGAGGATCTGGTCGAGTCAGCTGCAGCTCACAGAGACCCTGTTTATACTTGCTTTTAAAGTTTCTGTGATTCTAACCACAGGTTTTCCAGCTGACCACTTGTGATCAGATTTCTGTCACCAGACAAGCACCAGGGTTGTTTCGCACGCGCCTGCTAAGGAAACCAAAATGTTTGACGTCACCATGGCAATTACTACGTCCTGTATTGATGACTTATTTACTTGTTGGAGACGCATCAGGATGCATTAGCGCTTACACTACAAAAGATATGTGGCAGGTGGTACACAATGTACCTCACATCCCTCCAAAGCCACAGCCAGCTAATTTTGGATTGGTGGTCAACCAGAGTTCCTACTGCTGTCCAAGAACTCCATCCTGTATAGAGGAAAGCAACAAAAGCCAAAAACTGACAAACTCACCGATCATTAAACAAAGATCAAAGGGAACGTGACTCAGAATGCAACTAGCAACTCAGCTCCCAGGTGGAGCCACAAGTCAGTCAGTTCAGGATAGAGGAAAGAAAACTGCGTTGGATTCAGGAGCAGGGCTTTTTCAGAACCTCTTCAACACAACAATACACCTTTACCTCCAGAAAACCCTGCATCTCTTCTACTGGCTGCCCTCCCATTTTCCCCCTAATGCCCCACGCAGCAGCCGTGAAACTTCTGGGATACATTTACCGTCTATGTGAAACGTAACCTTTTGACTGCAGAAGCTGTAACTGTAACCCAGAGGTGTTGAAGTAATGAAAGGTAGAAAAAGACTCCTCACACAGCACACCAGAGTGCCTCAAGAAGGGAATTCAATAATATAATCACATCAACGAGCTGACTCGCAGGAGGAGAAGCATCTGGTGGGCAAGGAGAGGAACACAGACAGCAGTGCATCGGCTCCTGCTGCTGTCCTCACACACAAACACAAGCAGATCTGATCGCCGTCAGATACGTAGGGTAATGTTTCGGCTGGTTAGGTAGCCTGAGAAGATATGAACTGACACAGGAGAGTGTGTATAAGATCCACCAGCATGGCCACACAGGGGAGAAACTAAACTTCTGTGGCAAATGTGGGAGAAGTTTCAGACACCCAACAATGTAAATGCCTCAGCAATATAAGAACAGTGGATGGCAACAGTACCGGAGAGCAACAAGAGTCTTCTTAGTGATTTGTGGAGAAATGTCACTGCATAGAACTGCTGCAGACGAGGACTAGTGTCGGGGTTAAGAGTATCTGTGTGCAGATTATTTTACATTTGAAACTATATGCAAGGTCAGCAAACATGCAGTGTGATGGCAGTCATTTTGTTTTTTAAAGCAAAGACGTTTTTCTCTTGCTCCCTTTTTCTTGCAGACTTGCTTTAAAGGGCACTCGACTAATTTAACAAATAAAGCTCCCAGCTGTATCATGTGTTCTGTGAAGATCGTGAGCAGTGACAGAAGATGTCATCAGTCTGCGTTACAAACTGGAAATGTGAAATTTGAAATACTAGGTGTTAACCAGGCATGGAAGGTTTAATAAAAGACGCGATACAGTTGTATTATGGGAAACGTAGGAACCAGTATTTTGGGATCTTTGACCCATGACTCAAACTGAAGACATCTTGGTCTCTGCTGCTTTGACCACTTTTTTAAAAAGACATTCCTAAATCACGTACCCTTTTAATATCTAACAGCAGCTTGTTTGAAAACAATAGTGATGCTAGCTGGTAATGTAAAACCAATTGCTATGAAACAACCGTAGCTCCATCCAATCAAAAGCAGTCAGCTAGTAAACAGGAAGTCACTGTAGCATACCGTTAACAAAACTGGCTTAAATGGGGTAATCTACATTTAACTGCCAGTCCCTTTGTAACTGTAGGTATGACTGTTTGAATTATCTGCAGACAGGGACAAATGTGCTATTCAGTTAAGAGAACAATTTAGAGTGAGTGGGAAACATCTGATCAATGGTTTGTAATTTGAGATTTATTAACTTATTTTTGTGAGATGTAATTTAAAATCTTCACACCTCACTGGCCCTACATTTAGGAAGGCAACTGTTAACGCTGTCTTTGGTAACTAAACGGATTAGGAGATGATATGTCATGATCTGTGATTCAGCTCAGCAGATGGCAGCAAATGATTGAATGATTCATTTCAACGTCACAATACAGAAAAGGGAACAACTTTTGTAAGTTAGGGGACATTACAAAAAATGTGGCAGTTCCAGTTACGTCCACCAACCAGTTTCCTGCATTTTATCTAATAGTTTGAGCTCCATTAAACTTGTGGCACTATCTTGCCCTGACTGAGATGAGTTAACTCCAGTTTGCCAGAACTATACTCGTGCCAGTATAGCGAGAGTCACCTTTTTCCCTATGAAAATCAGTGTTTTGTCATTTATACAGTTCTTTTTAGCTGTTGGCTCCTAACCGTTAACAGAATGCTGACAGGTAAGAGTCTGAACAGCTGATTAGCAGCAGTACAAGCCATTCAGGGCCAGCTAGCTCACATTATTTTTATAAATATTTCTAATATAACACCAGTGTCAGTCGGTATAACACAGGCACATTCTGAAATGTTCTGAGGCTGGTTTTCCAGTTCAATATTCTTAGTTAAAACCTCACTTTGTGCTGTGTAACTTCATATTAATGACCTCTCCTCTCCTGAGGGTGGATGTACTCAGGAAGGGTAGTGCACAACCCAAACTGTCTGGCCGGGTTGTCCAGATTGTCTAAAATGTCCTTTTTTTCTATTTCTGCATTTTTACTTCAAAGGAACCCCTCAGAGGATTATCTAACAGCTCACTCCAGAACACTAAAAATCAATGAAAACACATCTAATAAAAACATCTAAAAAAAAATTAGAAAAAGGAAAAGAAAATCACATTGCTACATCATGTGTGTCCCTCTTTATCACTGACAGCCTCAGTTTGATGAACGGTGTCATTTGAGATGAATCAACAACTGGAATAGGACCACAGAGGCGTTCCTGTTATAATATCTCCTCCACAGCTCCGAAATGTCAAAAACCTCTAATTAAGAGACATTCAGTGTGACCTAGACTACATTTCACAACAAAGATTCAAAGGGAAGCACAATCAGAGGTAAAATCTACGCTCAACTTACCCCACTTCAACTCAAACCTTTTTATAAAATAACGTACAACTTAAAAATGTCAGCTGCGTTGAAGACAAAATCGGACACATGAAACAGGATGGACAGTCGACGACTCATGCCGACTGTGTCTGCGGGTTGCTGAACAACCTTGTTCAGGTATTCAAATTTTCCATGAAGAGTTCTGAGACTATTGTGTCTTGGCTCTTCAACATCTTTGTCTCCCAACCTGTGACAGCAGTAGATGTTGGTGAATAAGAGGAATAAACTGCAGTCAGAAGTTTAGAGGCTGTGTTTGAAGTCGGCATTTGACAGCCAAGAAGGAAACTAAAAGGTTTCACCAGAGGAGCTGATGATAGCTCTCAGTGCAGAGTGAGTCAGCTCCACTGATCCCACAGCAGCGTCGGGTCTATGAGGAGGAGCTGTATGATGTGCTCCTGCCCGACTTACGTTCGTAGTTCACCAGACGCTGTCCAACCAGGTATCTGGAAGAGAAACGGGAAAGATAGGAGTCGTTTACAAATTGTGTTTAACATTGTAATTCACACAACTAAAACACATCTCTTTGTTCAAGTTCAAAATGTATTTTCAGATATTACCGATTACCTTTGGGTCTTTTATTCTCAGATCTGTTTTACTGTAGTATGTGCTATGCTCTTTATTGTCCTCCTTGCACTGAATTTGGTGTTGCCCACATGTAACTCAACAAAATCCCACAAGACAGTGTGCTCTATGTCTGTTTGTTGTATAGATCTTTCTTCCTTCTTGTCATAATGAACCTTGCAGTTCAGTTAGGGGTCGTACAGCTTTTTAAAGCTGCACTAGGTAACCTTCATGAAAATAAAGATTTGTCATATTTGCTGATATTCTCACTGTCCTGTCAGTAGTACATGAGACAGATAATCTGTGAAATCTTGTGACTGACTAGTGCTCCTAATGGCATTTGCAAGAATCCACCGGGCCTGGACGAAAACAATATTCTATATTCTATATTTGACTGCTATGCAAACAGTTATTGGGATACAATATTTGCCACATCACACAGCCCTACTGACCACTGACTTAAGTTTCCCTCTTTGCCCCCATGTGTTAGTTTACACTTAAGACTTTTGGGGTCTACTGACTTGTCGTTCTTGATGTGTTCGTAGAGGCGTTTGAACTGTCGTATCTGGAAGGACAAGATGGCCAGCAGTATGACCACCATCAGCAGGAAGGGATAGATCCTCCTCTCCACTAGCGTCTGCATCTCCGGCTGCACACCTACGAAGGAAGAGAGGGAAGGCAGCAGGGAGGGAGGCAGAGGGCGAGGTGGGGGAAAGAAAGCGAAAACAGAGTGAACGCTGGAACACAATCTCCTCTTAACGAGTGTGTGCTGTGTGATGTCTTATCTCCGTAAACTGATTGACTTGAGAGTTAAGGGAACAGAGTAAACAATCAATTGCACTTCGGCTTGCACAATGGCTAAAATCCTGATAACCACAAGCGCTGGGAATACTTAATTGACTAGTTGTTTAAATGCAAGTGTTGTCTGAGTCAAAGCACTTGTCTAAACATAAATTGGTGCCTTGGGTATTCTTTGCATAAAAAGCACTTCTCAAATGAGCTCTGTGTCCAAATTAGAAAGTATCTGCCTGCACTGTGGCCTGATGATATCTGAGCGGGTCTTCTATCTCTGTTCCTGAATTTTATCTGCTACAATTTCTAATTTAGTCACTACTAAATCAAAGGAGGACCACATAAAGTTAAGTTTCCTTTTAGTTGTGTTTTCTTACTCATTCACTTGTAGGGTTGTCTGTTTTATTAAAGTTGATCAAAAAGTAAGCAAAATCCTCTCCTATTTATTTTGAAACTGTATGGAAGTTAAAAATGTAAAGGGTACCTTCAATGTTTTTTAACATGGACCCTTTTTTCCATGTTTTTGTGTCTAACTGACTGAAGGGGCACACAGTCAATGTACATCCATAACAAGTGAAAGTTATTAGATATTATTATGTACAACATATAGAATGGATCCCCACAAAGATAGACAGCTGAGCAATTGCTGTGTTCAAAGGCACCAGATTTCATTGACAAAAACCATAATTTTACAGCATATATTTAAAGTGAAATCTTTGACCCCTCTCACAGAGAGTTGGTGATGGATGAGAAAACTGGAGCATTGAGAGAGACAAAAGAGAAGACACTACCTTGAAACTTGGTATATGTAGTATATGACAGTACCAGACCACTCATGCTCAACCAAGACAGGCAAGCATAAACAGAGACTCACCTAGCAGTGGTGTGATGCCTTTAGAGATGGTGTAGGGCACACAGAGAGACAGCAACAGGACGCAGATGACAGGGGCCGCCAGCCCTCGCACAATGAAATGGAGGTCAATGTTTCGGATACCGTTGGCGTACACCTACAGGAGAGAGAGAAGGGAACATAGTGACAGGTTTGTTTTGACATTCTTCCTAATACAGGTTCAGTTCTTTTTATCCTTAGTAATTAATTACAAAACAAATTCTTAGAATACGCTTCTATAGACACGTTCAAGGGGATAACATGTATTTTAGGATGATATACAAATATGCACATATGTTTTATCACCTTTACAGTACATTTAATGCAGCTACAGAGTTGTGAGACTGACCTGCTCAATGACGGTTTTGAGCCACCACTGAGGGCCCATCAGTGTGATGGCAGCAATTATTTTAGCGTGGAGCACGCCCAGGGCCCAGTCCTGCCACACACACAGACAAACAACAACCACCATTTTACAACCAAATGAGGTCTGTTTTAGCATCTACTCAGTATCAGTGCCTGTAAAACCTGTTTTTGTGTCTTTGCATAGCACACCGAATACCAGCTGGTATTGTTCGATACTAGTGCTACGCTAGTTTTTCTATAAACATTTTGTATTTAATAAAATAAGTTAATAAGTTCTCAAATGTTAAATGTCAACAATCTTCACAAAACAATTATTGTCTAAATGTGGAAAACATACTAAGTAAACAAGATCTGACCTGACATTTAATGTTTGAGTTGAACAGTGAAAACTTTATAGATTCTAAAAAAGGCACTGAGCTCTCCACCCACACACTTTCTCACACTACTTTTTCACAGATTTCTCAGATGGATACATTGGATATATTCACACACATACACTCTTCATAGTCCTACCTGCCAGGGGTAGAATAGAGGCGTCTGGTCCAGTGGGACTCTGAGAGGAGCAACGATGACCAGCTCAAACAGCAGACCCAACAGCAGAGGAATCACCCCGGCTAACATCACAGCCACCACTATGGTCTTTATGATCTGTTCTCACCAAGAAATCACATCCACGCCACCAAAATACACATTCAAATCATTTGCAATGTAATACAGAACAGCACTAAATTTGCTATCGGCTGGGAGGACTAGAGAGACGTCCACTTTACCGTGAGTGTCCACTCGTGGACTTTGATCAGGATGACGGACCGTCCTTGTGGCATCCAAGACAGCATCACGGTGGCGGCACGAATGGACAGCCAGCAGACGTACAGACCGCTGGCCGCTGTGTACAGCTCATGAACCATGGCGCTACCCATCCAGAAAGACATCAGCCAGCGACCCGCACACACTGGGAGAGAGGAAGAGGAGAGCATTTAAGAATGGAGATGTGACTGACAACAGAAAAGATGAAAGGTAAAATGCCTGCTTGCGACAACAACTTACCCGGCAGCGTGAGGCAGATCAGACTAGCCAGTAACAGCGTCACACACATAAAGACCACCAGCAGAATGATCTTAACAACCAAAAAAGAACAAAAATCTATTTTCAGCAGAACGGGCTTCAGGATATATATGAAATGAATAATCATAACGCTGTGAGTCACCTTGAGGGGGAAGTTGATGGGCCGGTGGTACGACTGGAACCCAACAGGACCGCCCTGTTGCAGAATGGCCTGGTGGGCAGCGTGAAGCCCTTCCCCAAGGCCAGGGACCCTGTTGTTGTTATGGCGACCGGGAGGGTTGATGTTTGGTTGGTTGTCATCGTCTTCATGGTCCCCCAGCAGGTAGGAGTGAAGGTCACTGTGGGGGAGCAATTGATGAGTAATTGTTATGTCTTATTGTTACAACTGGGAAGTGACATAATGACTCTGGACAAGAAGAACAAACTATAATTTGAGGCTTTCAGGTTTCCCACTCTTTATAAGAAATCATTTTCTAGGAGTTTTTCTTGACAATACAGGACAGCACCTGCTCACAGCCAGTCATATAATTTAGCAGTAGTCTGAGTATTAACACATTTAACTCCTTAACTTAATGATGCAGGTTCATGATGAAGTGTCTCAGGGTCATTACAGGTATGTGTTTTTGTTTGTATCTGTTTGTGGCGCAGTTAGCTGTTCCACAACAGCCCACTTTTCCGCTGTGTCCCCATCAGGCTGACTACAGTTTACTAGTTTTTACGGTAACACTAATTTGGCCACAGTTCATAAGAATTTATTATAATTTTTTCTTTTTGTGAGAATTTTGCTCATGGGTCCAGAAAAAATAAACTCAACACTGAAAGGATCGCTGCAAGTTCGTTTTACGTCTGTTAAACCTGCTCTGAAATGTCATACTTCAGGTTGTCCTACCAATAGTAAAGTTTCATTTTAGATACGATGTGATTGAGGTGTTTTCATGACTGGAAAAGCTAGTCTCTGAATTTCCAGGTTTTCTAGTTTTACCAGGACACGTGGGAACCCTGGGTTCTCCTAGCCTCGTTGTATGAACACTGTGGCCCACATCATCCACCAATTATGGTAGATGAAAATCTCAGGTTTTGTTAACTGTACCATTTTGCATCTAAAGTTGCAGTGTGTGTGTGTGTGTGTGTGTGTGTGTGTGTGTGCGTGTTTTCAGCCTACAGCACATATCCAGCGGTGAATGTCCAGGCGTGGACGAGCCGTTTGAGCCACTGGCGAGTGTGACCCTGCTCCAGCAATGCCGGCAGAACGACCTGAAGTAACAGCAGCTCCAAGGACAGCTCGCTGACTGGGGCATCGCTGCAGAGACAAGACATAAACCAAAGGCCAGCTCATTTTTCTTTAGCAGCTTCCCATTTTGGTTATGGCTGAGTAGAGAATGGACAATGTCATCTTTAGCTTTGAGATACTGAGATAGACAAATCAACATAAACGGTTATGTGTACCTGTAAAGCATAACGTTGTAGGGAAGGAAGGTTGGGAAGAACAGTTTAATGATTCTGATGGGAAGCCAAAGCATCAGCAGAACTATGGAGCCAAAAACCACCTGGGAACACACAAACAGAAAAACACATATTTTCACTAGTGGCATTGAGATGAACCGATATGGAAAACAGACCTTTTTCTAGTCAGTAGTAAATCTGTCAAAAACCTGTAGCAGAGTCAAAAAAGGCAGACAATACCACACACCCTGCTACTTATTTAACAAGTTGACATTTGCACTGACAGTAACTTCCAACTAGCCCCAGTTACTGAAACATACCGTTTCATTTACAGGGACAGGGAGGCACCTGTACAGTTTTATTGAAAATACCAAATTCACAAGGATCAAACAGTGCCCAACCAGCATCATTTTAGGTAGATACACACCCCTCCTTCTCACTTACCTCCAGTGGAATGTAGCCATGCAGGTAGCTTTGGTTTTATTTGTGCAGGTATTGAGATATCTGTCTGTGAGATGTCTGCCTCCACCTAAATACAGTGGAGGTGAATTGAATTTCATTGTAAAAAAGGTGCTTAAAGCACTGAGAAAATATATAAAAGAAAAAACAAATCTTTCTTTCCAGAAACAATGTTCCTGTTAGATAGTGCACAACTTCTTTGTGAACAGGTTTGTTTTTCATAGGGACTGTTTCTTAGGTAGAAATATTTTAATGAAAACTTTTCACAGAGAGGTCTGTGAATTATCCAGAATAACCAGGAGACCTAGAAATCTCAGAGAAAGGCATCTCAAAACCTAGGCAAATAAAAATATGCACTTAACCGGTTTACCTTTGTTCAACTTCTATGAAACTTTGACAAAAATTCATTAAGTAAAACCTTTTTTCCTTTCACTTCCTTTCTATTGGGAATTCTATGTTGATTTTGGAGCGTGAGCGGCGTGACGGGGGGGGGTGTTCAGACGGGCCTGCCTCCACTGCTAAAAAAAAACCTAGAGGAAACACTGCTACCCACTGGCCTTTTAAGCATCACAATAAAAATACATCTGGGTGTTGTTATGCTACTAAAGTTTAGAACAGCCGAGGTTACTTGACTGACCACGGAAAGTATAAACCTCCGCAGGTGTCTGTAGATGGGCAGGTGGATCATCTCTTGGACTGGGTTGAAGTCTGGATCATTCAGGTTCCTCAGGAACCACAGCACACCGGGCCGGAGCACCTACAACCAAGCAAACATGAAAAAGCTTAAGATGAAGAAGAAACTGGAGGGTGTGTGAGTTTTCGGGACTGTGGCTTAAGTCCTTCACTTTACCTCTCGTAACAGAAGAATGAAGGAGGCGAAGTAGAAGACGTAGACCATGCCGACCAGCCAGTGGAGGAACATGGTGGTACCGGGGGCCATGTCGAAACTCTGCTCCCTGTCCTTCAGAGTTGCATCAAACATTTCCTGCAGTGAACAAAGGACATGCAGTATTGTGTGTGTTTCAATACAAATGACAAAAACAAAATCAGTTTTTACGAACTGGTTTTGAGATTTGTTTTTTAAATTGAATGTTCATCAAGTTTCTTGATCAGATTTGTATCCACTGCGTCACCGTGATTGCATTTAATCTGTTTGGTCAACATTAACTTTGACTGTATCAAAAGGATCAGTGATTTTACTCTGTATGATTGTCTTACCAGAGAGCAAATGTCGAGCCACCAACCACAAATCAGTGGGAACAAGCCTATCTCCATGACAACCAGCAGGGACACCTGCAACATAAAAATAAAAAAGCAATTTAGCTTCTCTTGTCATAATTTCTTCCTGTAATCATAATTTACAGTTTTAATCACTGTTTCAACTGAAAGCTTTGCTTGTTTGATAGAAACAAAGTAGATCTTTGGAAACATTCCAATCTTTCATCTCTAATTTACCTTGACAACAATGTAGCAGACACCCAAGAGGCGTCTGGACCGTTGGAACTTCACTAATGAAGCCAGTGCCTGAAGGAGGCAATGTTAAGGACTAACACCAAAATGAGAGATAAAAGAACATTCCCTCAATATTGTATGCTAAGAATAAAAAATTTGTATTTCTCATGAACAAATGTCATACAAACTCTATTACAGACATTTTAAATAGCTATGCACAAAACCCACCAAAAACACAAATTACTCAACTGATACAAGTTGAAATAGTTATACACAACCGTAATAAGCAACTAGGAGTGTCAGACATACTGTCTGTCAAACAAATAAAGTAATCTTTTGTATAAAGAGGATACATGGCAGACTATGAGAGCTCCAGCCAGGAGGATATACCCGAGTATGGTGGTGATGAGGCCGTCAAAGTGTGAAGCTTTGACCTGCAAAATCACAAAAATGCAATCACTGCATGACAAACCCACATCAGGAATTCAAACTGTACAAGTGTCCCCTCATGCATTGCTGTGCACTTACATAGTCTTCAAAGCCCAGTCCAACCACTGAGAAATGGCCGATGTGATACGGGCAGAAAGCTAGAGAGAAATACAAAGGTTAGGGTAGAATCTGTTGTTTAGTACAGTGTACAAGAAAGTACAAAAGGACTGTCGTATATCACTGCATTATAGTGGGCAACCTACTTAATTCCCCCTTGATAAATTCACAAAGGTAATGAGTGCACGTACAGTAGGACATCACTATATTGCAGGTTTAACTTACCAAAGACCAGGATGAAAAGTGTGTTGAGAGACACCACCCAGAACACATGCTCCTAGAAAGGCACACAATGTTAAACTATTTCTAGTGTTAAACCGATGAAGATTGTGTATGCATCATATTAACAACCTGCCCTATATCCCATAAATGTGACAAATGCGGCTCTACGGGCCATGCTAACTATGCAGACCACCACCTCTCTCTAGAGATTTCCCAAAACGGACTAGCGAAACAACCTATATTGAGATATTGGAGCAAGCTGCACAAGCCTCCTACATAGATCCCTATGCAGTTAGCCAAAATGGCTAGTCCATGGTGCCACTTTATAGGTTGGGGACGCACTCATGACAAGCTTTTGAAATGATTCATGGAAAAAATTGTGTTGATTCAGAAAGCTGTTGGAGGCTTGCACAGATTGCCCTGATAAATGTTGTTTTGCACAAATCCTCGTTCCGCTGAATCCCTAAAAGGAAGGTTGTGAGTACAAAGTTGGCATGACCCATAGAGTTGCAATCACCACACTTAAGGGCAACATGCAAGGCTGAAATATATATGGGAAGTCGGAAAGCCAGACCAAATGATCTGTCTATAAAATTGATTATCACGGATATATCGCTATCTGTGTATGTGTTTTCCGATATACACTTTGTTGTTTTTTTTATACACAACATAATGCAATGAAATACATACTGGAAAGAACTGTGATATATGGGAGCAAAATTGGTACACAATTCACAGGAAAGGTTATTTCATTCCAGCTTAATTCACTATACCATCATATCGGTAATTTGTGAATTTCTCCCCTCTAACATTGGTCTCAAAAATCCCATATCAGTCAGGCTCTATTTGAAACTTTGTGTTGGTGGAAAAAGAGTGGTGAACTTACCAAGAAAACTAGGGAGCCATCCAGCCCCAGCATCTGGGACACAAACAGAAAGCAATGTTATAATCATCATTATGATACATATAAATACATGATAAAACTACTATTTTTACTACAACTGCAACTAATATGATGAAGAATACACTTATTGACCTCAGGCCAGCTACCCTGCTTACACTTGGCTTTTTTAGCATTGTGTCCTATCTACGTCACACCACTTAATGGAGCAGGAGACATGGGAATAAAAAAATAGATTCCCACCCTTTCCCAGGTCAGCTCCTCTGCTGCACGGTCCCACTCCAGGGCGTTCCAGTTCAAATCTTCTGCAAAGGATGATCATAAACAACTGAAACAGTGTGGAACACCTACAATGTGCAGCAAAAATATGCTTATAGATTTACATGTACTCAATCTTGAAATCACTCTTTCAGCATTTATGTCCATGCAATTTAACGGAGCACACATACTGCATACCATTTCTCAACTTTCATATCATAGTTTACTTGGTACTTTATTTACCAAGAAAGAATGGTGTCAATTCCAGTCCACAGAAGAGTTGCGGGCACTTAATCATGTAAAAGAGCTTGAATTGCACTATTTTGAGCATCAAATCTCTTTGTTTTCATGCTCACACCGACCTTGTCCTCCATTATTGGCATCAGCAGCATCTTCTTCCCTGCCTTCCTCATCGTCTTCCTCTTCTTCATCTTCCTCCCCGTCGTCGTCATCTTCCTCATCGTCAAGTTCAGCCTCATCTCCGTGGTTTCCACCTTCTTGTGGGTTGTCAGGTGCCAGCCCATCTGGAGCAGGGTCTGCAGGGTGCTGGGCTGCTGCGCCGTCTGCAGCAGCCTGGGCGTTGTTACCACCTGGAGCCTGTATAATCGGAAAATAAGAATTACATTTCCCTACTTACAACATAGCCTGCACACAGTTAAATTAGGTGTCTGAGTTCTAAAGACGTGCATTTTGGATTTGGCAATTAAAAAGAACAGCTTGACAGTTTGTGCAGCTGTATTCCCCAAATGTACGACATGGGAAAAAATACTTTGTCCCTTGTAACTAAGATATTTCAGAGAGGAATTGTTAAGGGTTGACATAATCTGGAAGTCACTTCTTTACTCATTTGATTATGTGTTCAAAAAGACAAATGTCAGGGCCAGCTTGGCAAGCACATTCTCTGTCAGAAAAGATAACTGTTCTGAAGTTTCCTCTGAGAGGAAGCGTTGGCCAGACCAGGCAGGCAGAGAACAAATGTGACCCAAATCGGAACATTTGCAAAGTAGAGAAAAAAGTTAAACTTGCATCAATAATTTTTCAGTATGTCAAAACATTGTATTTTAATCAAACTTTCTGTGACAAAAAAATGGTCTAATTTGAAATAAACTACATCAAACTAAGAAGAACTGCCTTAAGTCAGTGATTCTCAAGCAGGGGTACCTGTACCCCAGGGGGTAATTCTGCAGTTGCCAGGGTGTACATGCATTATTCAACAACTTTGAAAAATAAAAATAATGGATAAATGGTTGAAAAGGTTAGCTACATATTGTGTAAATGATTGGAAAAAATCTTTCAAAAGTGGATAAATAGTTCAAGTTAGCTAAAAATGTACAAATGATTGAAACGTTTAGCTTGTGCCACAAGAAGTACAAATGCAAAGTTAAACAAACACAAACACTGACAATTCAGATGTATGAAAAAAAACAACAACTATATCCTGATGATAAATACCGTTAAATCACATTTAAAATCAATTCAAATGAGCACATTTGGAACATGACTCGTGATGCTGATGAAGGGGTACTTGAGTTAATCTGACAGAACTGTGGGAGTAAAAAAAAGGTTGTGAACAAAATAAACTCCACTGGCTTATAATTCACAGACACAAACCTGTCACTGTGCCAGCTACGTCAGAGTGCATTAGTGGCAGAACATACAGCATACAGAGAGGTCAATACACGTGGGTAGTCTACTATCTGTGCAGCTCTGTGTGGAGGCAGAAAAGAGATGCTGGTTGGCAACACAAACTAATCTCACCTCATTAGCTGGCGCAGGACCATTAGGCTGATTAGGAACTAGAGGGGGCTGATTCTGCTCTAACCACTGAGGGGCACCACCGTGGACAATCTGCTCTCTAAGCCACACCAGGCTGATGAAGGCGCACAGCGTACAAGTGACCACAAAACAGCCCTGGAGGCAGTCCGCAAGCAGGTTTTGTCTGCGATGAAGAGATGAAACATTATGGTTTTAGAGTGTGTTTCACAACATTTTCACAAATCACTTCACCACAGAGAGCTGGACAAAGGGACCGAAAAAGATGACATGGTGGATGAAAGGAGCTATTATGAATAACCACACTTTGGACACTAATCAGATCTTAACTATCTTAATGGCACTCCAGTGTACAAAATGTGGAGAACACACACACTCATAATGTACTGGAGTATGACAGTGTGAGAGAGAAGGGCCAAAAACAAGACCAGAGAGTGATTCAAACTTACGTTGAAAGCATATCTAATGGCAGGGTAAGGAGAGAGCTCACAGAGCCAGTAAATAAACACTTGTAGATACGACCTGTTAGAAAACAAAAACAAAAACAAAAAAAACAATCTGAGAATCATTTCTTAAAGTGACAACTGGCGTGAAACTAAAATGAAAAACTATGCACCAACTTCTTTAACATTCATTTGAATTGTATTGCACTTATTGCTCTATTTTTACACCATAAGTGCATAAATTATCATTGTACTTGAGCCTGTGCACAAGAGCCTGGCACCCACAACAGAGATTATATACTTTCTTTAAATGTACTACAAAGGGTTTATAAACTGGTAATGAACCAGTCTCAATTTAATAACAATGCTTCAATATATCCTACATACACAAACAAGACCATCAGTAAGAAGATTGGCCATTTCTATTTAGGTATCTGAATGCCTGCCACCAGGTTGGACTCCCCTTGAAATCAATTAAATGAGGTGGTACAAACACTACTGCTTTTGTCCACAGGGGGCGCCAGAATCAACACAAAAGGAAAGTTGATTGTAGGGGCATTAAAAGTTAATTGTTTTTATTTGTGGAAAGTCAAGTTTTTTAGCAAACCCGCTTAAGCTGGTTTGTCCAAACATACATTTCAAACATTCTTTCACCAACTGTGTTCGCCAATAAGCATAGTGAAAGCTTAGTCCCACTCTCTAGAAGCAGTCAAGTGTGGCTTAAAGCTAATTTCTTATTGCAAGGTGAGTATAACAGTTATATTTGAGTTTATTTGTCATATTTAGTGTCTGTTCTTCTAATTTTTCATTTTCTCAAAACATTGTTGGAAGTTAGGGAATTCATACAATATGCACAGACAAGTGCTGATCAAATCTCCTTTCATTTTGTTTTGTTTTTTAACAATGGAAAGATGTGACGTACATGCTGTGAGAGGCACCACGCCTAACCAGGCAAAGGCCACCAGTGTATAGTGGAACCAGTATCTGATGGCTGTTCCGACACTGGTGACCAGCCCTGCAAAGATGTCCTGGACCGGCAAGCGAGATGGCATGTCTGGAGAGTAGACTGGAGGAAAGAGAGAATGAAGGAAGTAAAAAATGAGAATAGTGGAAGTGAGGGAAATATTCATAATTATGCAATAAGTGGAACTAACAACAAATTCATGCATTAATGTACTCATCCAATTAGCTGAAAATCTTAAGCTTGATAAAGACTTACTTGGTGTAAATGCAAACCTGTGTTTGCACAATTCACAGTATTCTTTTCTGCTGTGTTTCAACCACTGCAGTAAGCTGTGAAAACAAAAGGACATCTTGTGACTTTACTCATTTTATCTTATGGAAACGAGCACTCTATGTCCAAGAATCTTCCTCTACGGCCTTGCTGTAAAATCCCACCACTTTTTTTTTTATTAATATTCACAACTGAAACGTGAGCACCCACTACACCTAACATATTTCCCTTTTTAGTTTGTGTCTGGTTGTTTGTCAAGAGTGTATTTATGTATAATCAGGCACACTGTCAAGAGATCTGTTTGTTATAATCCCTGCTATCCTGCAACTTCCCATGGGTATTATTTCCCCATGTTGGAATACACTTGAACAACATCTGCAAAAGCAAACAGATTGACAATGTAGACAGAACGCATCCTACCTTTAAGCCTTAAAGATAAAATGTATGGAAAGGCAAGAAGAAATAATGGAACCATCATTCTGGTCATTGAACGCACCATTCCTGATGGATAAACTTGATGCTGCCAGTGCAGACACAGGGGTGGTAGAGCGGCTTGTCCTGGGTCCCCTCCGAACGACATACCCGACAGATGTCCGCTGTACAGTAGGCACACAATAACATAACTTACAGGGCAAACCAGGACATCCTACTCCTCAAATATTTTGTTTCATCAACTTGGCACTTGCATCCATTTCATCATCAGATCAGTGATCACCTTGACACATACTCATGACACACCTTAGATATAGTTAATGCATGCAATCTTTTCGCAAGAACACAAACACTTGCAGCAGTTTCAGAATGTGAAACACATTAGAGATAGCATGAGTATGTCTCTTTAGTGAGCAGAGCAGGTTATTCAAGGACAGTAGGGCAAACTGTAATCCTTGGATTACCTGTGTCACTGGATGACCAAAATAAAATAACTATAATTAGCCCTGGATGCAAGAGCATGATACCAGTTATCAGATACCCAGAGTACATTTTGACTAACGTCACATATAAACATTAAGCTATATTAATAATAGAAGAATATCACAATTCGTGACCACAGAACACCGGAACACCGAGCTAATGGCTCCCCTCCCGCAGCATGAACAGCGCCCAGAGGACATGTGTTAACTTTAAGTAACGTTAGTTGTACAGCGTGAGAACAATGAGAACTGCAAGATAAGAGTGTGTGTTAATGATGTTAGTCTTATTAACCATATTTTGCTTTTAGAATAAATGAGTGTAAGGTCATAAACAAGCCTTGTGAATTGGCAGGGCTGACCGGTGTGTGAGTTATCATACTGTTCCTAACATTATAACGGTTGCATTAAACTCACTCAACGTTAGCTCGCAACTAAGTTTAAAAAAAAAAATAGCTCAACTGTGTAACTTGAATGTGAAAAGACCGTGTTCTTTGATTTATACCACCACAACCCACTTGTTGCAGATGTAGATGAAAACAAACTGCAGAAACCTAACGATGCTGATTTTATTTACAACAGCTGGTAGCTAACGGGCTAATGCTAGTTAGCCAACTTACCGAGCTAACGTTAACGCTAATTGGCTAGCGGTTTTTTAATTCTGGTGAACCTCTGTTAAAAGTTTAAGAAAGTGTAGGGTGCTGCCATTAACAACTGTTAATACTGGGTTAGAATATCACACATTGTTAAAATGCGCTGTTTTACCAGTTAGCGTGAACAATTGGGGCAATCAAGTTTTAACATAGCTAGCTACCTTCCTCGGCGGTGTCCATCTTGGCTGGCTGCTAAGGCAGCCCTGCTCCACAGTACTCAGGCTAGTCAGAATAAAAGCGATGACCGCTATCTACATGTGCACATTTCACGTTGGTAAAGTTTTAAGTTCAAGCCCCGATTGTCTTTGACGTGACCATATGTTTCGAAATTAAATAAAGCCTTTTCACTTCATAGTAGCAACATCAGCGAGCGGTCGGGACATACTCAAAGCCACAACATAACTGTGCCGTATTTTCAACACTAGATGGCACCCAAACGCAACCAGCCTGACGATTGCATGTTGAGTTTATTAAATACACAAGCCTTAAAATAGACACAGTGCAGGAGTTTGTGCAGATATCGTACAAAATCATGTGGTTTACAATCTCCTATCAGACAGTCTGTATGATACGATTTCATACATAAACAATGCACTGCAACTTTCTATACATAATCAACTCATGCAATCATTGAAGCACTTTTTCCTATTAGGGAATTACATTTTCTCTTTCTTGTCATCATCATTTACTCTTTGAATCCTGGTTTTAATCATTACACGTGTATCAGATCTGAAATGCCTGTCTGATCATTCAGCCGTCGATACAGTGTGCAGGAATGCAGACGTAGAGGAGATTCACAATTCTGCTGGAAACAGCCGACTTTAACATGAGCGTCACCACTCATCAGGGTCAGTTCCAGTGTCAAGCTGTTTTCCCCTTTCTTTTTACATGCTCAACCTCAGACTTGGACACTGATGTATAGAGACTTTACATTCATCAGTCCAGCCGTTTCAGGTCCACTGGAGGAGTAGAAATGCATGGATTTAAAAATCATTGCATGATGACAACTTAACAACAAGATCTGTTAGCATTTATGTTTGTGAATCTGGTGTGTCCTCATGTTCTGGTGTTGTCTTCCTTGTCAGTCCGTGTTGCAGGTGTGACTTAAATGTCTTTGCATCGTACACCCACACAGTGTCTATGCCCTCCCCAGCGGTATGTTCAGGGACCCAAGTGGGGAAGGGAAAGCGGCATGCCACCACCTTGGCTGTGCTCGGTAACTCGCTTGCCAGCTTCAGCTCCAGCTGGTCCATCTGCAGATAGACGGCGACAATCAGGATATGTTAAGTGGTTGTGGAAGTGTTAATACTACTTGGCAAAGATGAAAGATAGAGCTTTAAGGTGATGAACAGTTGATCATAGCTGTCCCTAATGAACTGAATTGTACCATTTCTCACCAAGAATGGATCATTTCATCACTGACACATACACGTCAGCTCGAGTAAACATAACTTGGAGTGCTTTATTTTTTATTTTGGGGCTTTTTATGCCTTTATTTGGTAGGACAGGTGAAGACAGACAGGAAACCAGTGAGAAAGGTAACATCATGCAGCAAAGGGACGCGGGTCGAAATAGTACCCAGGCCGCTGTGGCAAGGACCCGTGTTTATGGGGCGCCCACTCTACCAGGTGAGCTACCCCGCACCCCTTGGAGTGCTTTATAGTAGAACTACAATAAAATGAGCTAGAAAGAATATGACTTTAGTGTTTTAGTTACTTAATTTGGCACACGTGGTATACATGATATTCAAAGAAAATACAATAATGACCATGCTGATAAAATTGCTGGAGAACTAACAGAAGAACTCACCATCTGAGGGACTCCAAAAATGACAACATTGGAGTACTGAGCAAAACTGACCTGGCAAAAGAATCAGAAATACTGTGAGTGACACAGTGACAAGTATGTTTAATGTTTTCATTTTCTTACACTAAGTGACACCAGACAAACAAAGAAGACATTAAATGCATTTCCTAAAATGAAGTCACTACATATTGTACTAATCAGGTATGACCGACCTTCCACAAGTCAGAGATGTTGAAGGAGGTGGAGCGATGGACTCCCTCTCTCCAGGCCTTGTAGCGAGAATACCACACCAGCCAGGGGTTCAGCTCAAAGCCCGACGCCTGAAACCCATGCTTGGCTGCTGCTATCACCTGCGAGGGGAAGGGCAATTCAATGCATCAACAATGTACAGCAACTACAGCAGCAGGGGGATATACTGGGAATACTTTTGAGTTTCTTTCTGTGACGTTTCTGCAGTTTCTGGTCAGTAGGGAAATGTTTTTGCCCATTAGTTTCCCTGTTGCTGCTGTCTGAATTTGTGTAAGTGGTGCTTATCTAGACATAAGAAGATGCGTTTGATTGTTATGTGGAAACAGCAAAACACAACTTACAAAATGTATACTTGTTAAGAACTTTCTGAAAGGGTCATTTGTTTAAGCTCCTTATAAAGAAACAACAACTTGTAGTGTCAGTGTTGATCATGTAAAGAAACGCTTCTGCAACATCAACTGTGGATAGGTTGGGGTTTGATAGTTAACTGTATTGTTCTTTGAGGAGGTCAGAGCTAGTAGGGATTCACACACTGTTTACGGGGGGGGGGGGTTCAACCAAGACCCTCCTGCTGAAGTCCTCTGAGAAACACTTTTCCAACCCAAAAGGATGTGATATTGATATTACAGTATTATAACTAATAGTGCAGAGCAGATAAGGTGTGTGATAGGAGGCGGATAGAGAGGACATGTGACACACCGCAGGCAGATCGAGATTTTGGTCCGTATGTCAACACCACTGTTTACTTGTACTTCTAGCAGTGGCCCTGCCTCTACATCATCCACAGGGTAGTAAGACATCCCAGCACTTACTATTCTTCCATCTCCACTGCCGATGTCCACCAGGGTCCCTGATCTGGCTCGCAGCACCCTGAGGACATTGTCCACCTGGGCTGTGGTCGCTGGGACGAACGGGAGACAGACCTTCCTCAGAGCAGGGGTGACAAAGGGAGCAGCCACCGCGTACAGGGCGACCAGCGAGCCTCCCAGCACCCCGGTGGCGATGACACCGAGTCGGCTCCTGCTCTTTGTCTCCTTCACGCCGCTGTCAAACGGTCCCGCCGGCGCGGAGTCGAGAAAAAGCGTTTCTTGTGGCATGACGTTAACGTTAGCTTAACGGGAAACGTCGCACGCTTTAAATACGTAACGTCGGCTAACGTTAGCTAGCATGAGCTAACGTTAGCTGAACTTAACATGAATGACAGCTGGCGCTTTGCTAAAGGTTAGCCGGTCAAGCTAGCTACCTAAATTAAATGTCATGACTAAAATCCTTTATTATTCAAAGCGCACTTGCTCATTATGCTAACCGCTCAGTCAGAAGATAGCCAACAGCTAACGACTGATGCTCCTGTTATTCTGACATACTGTAAGATGACCTGTGCAGCGATGTTATAAGCCCGTAAGGACAACAAAGATAGGCTAACAAAGGTTCCTCTCTGTGTTCGTACAAGTAAATAAAAACAAAACGAAGTCCAAATAAATACACTAAATGTCAATGCCATGGTGCCATGCAGAGGAAAGGGGAAATAAGATATTTAATGAATCAACAGAAATCAACCAACCAGAAAAAAAGCAGGACAAGCCAAATTGAAAAACATACACATAAATAAACATAAATAAATACTCCAAAACAAACAAAAACAAATAATTAAATGAGGTATCCATTTACACAGCATTAGAAAATATAAGTTTCAAGCCCACTGGGTATCATATTTGCAAAACAGTGTTTTGCATGAAGCATTTTCTTTGTGTGCTGACTCATTACTAATATGCTTCCATTATATTCTGTCCATATCTGGTTCAGTGTTCTTTATCCCTGTTTGATTCTGGACCAGTGCTTAAAACAAAAACATCTTGTCTGCTGGAGGAAAAGGAATAGCCTAACAGTTAACAGTTGTGACATTTTTCTTGCTTTGGTGGTGTAATAATGTTTAAACACAGAGGAAACACTACAAGTCATTCGTAAAATAATCTCTGATATAATGCAGTCATAAATATATTCTACCCCAGAGTTGAAACTTAAAGCCAAACAGGAACATAATAGGATAGGGGGAAAAAAGGAGCTGTGATGCATTAATGGGTGGGAATTGAATGATCTCAGTATCTGTGGATATAAATCCTTCTTTCATCCATTCCTGTCAAATCCTACCACTCCCATTCAGATTAACATTCAATATGTACAACAATTGCTGCTTAAGTCTTTGGTAAAGGGGTATTTTTATTATAATTACTAGTATGTGTTTCACAAGTCCCAGTCAACTCTGCATAAAATGTAACACTTCCATTTAATTTGGAACCTGGGAAAAGAAACACTACCAGGAGCTGTAAAGATCAGCATTTATTTGTATAAATTAAACAGAAATCTAATGTAAAAGGGAGTCAGGGATTTTAACCTCCACAGATAAAGAACTGAGGTGATTATGTGCTTTTAACATTTTCTTATTTCCATGTTGCCTTACATTAGAAGTCATTAGACAGTGTACGGTGGACAGTGTGGTCCAGCCCTGACTTCCCATGGTGCATATGGTGGTGGTGCATGTGGTGGTGGCTGGTGGTGGGACCGTCATCCATCATCAAGTCATCCTCCTCCTCCGGCCTGTAGCCCTCTGCCGCGTCCTGAGAATAGCTATGCTTCATCACCAGGATGCTCCTTCGGCCTGCTGGTGTGGTGTGGTGGGAGAGGCGCGGTGACTGCTGGCTCACCATCACCGGCGGCGGTGGCGGCGGCACAAGAACCCCCCCGTCGGTGATGGTAGCATCCCTCATGCTCAGGTTGCTGCGGCTACCGTGGACACTGCCATGCATGCTCCCATGCTGAGAGCCGCAATGGTGGTCGCGGATGCATTTGGAGGAGGAGCGGCGGAGTTTGTGGAACTTCTCAAAGTCCTCGGCCAGGGCGGCGTCAGTCAGGTCGCCGGATGGGGCACGGCGCAGAGTGCAGAGTTCGTAGTGAGGAGGCTCAAAACCAGGGTGCAGGAGGGCAGGGTCAAAGTCATCTCTGTGGATAAGTAGAAGAAAGAGGACACACACACACACACACACACCAACATATGTGTTCAGGAAAGCATTGTGTATATGAATAAAGAGTGTGTAAGTGACAAAAACAGACTGAAAAACTGAATTTGGATTGTCCACCTACAGGTACTATATGTGAGAATTCGCGAACATACCCTAACAATATGTTTTTTGTACCTAAATATAACCAAGCCTTAATTGCAGTGGTGTAGTAATGTTGTTGAATCTCAACTAATAAATGGTTGAAATGTTACAAATACTCTATATACTATTTGTAGGCAGACTATCCAAAAAGTAACCAAAAGGTGTTTTATAATGCTAATAATTCA